AAGTCATAGATAATTGATTTATATACATAGGATTTGTTTAGTTGTTATGTGAAAATTATCTTGTCCTCAGACGTCAACTCCTTTCCCTGAATCTTTCCAAGCAACTTCACCGCCTGAACCTGTTAGTCAACATAATTCATCTCAAACTACAACTGAAACCCTACCTTCTCTACCTGCAGTTCAGATTGCCAAAACCACAAGTCCAGTGGATCCCTCTCTCTCATCCACTTCTCTGGAATTTTCCACTGCCATAACTCCAAACCCTAAAAAAGCTACTTGTACCCGTATTCTCCCCAGTTCACTTTCCGATACCTCACAGCCTGAGTTGTCTCCACCTCCTTCTATCCCCCCTTCTGCCTCTCTATCCCATGCATCTATCCAACCCCTTTCCCGTCATGAAGCATCTTCTCCCGTCCCTCTATCTAGTTCAACCTCACCGAATTCTCATAAATTACCAAACTCCTCAATCTCCACTCTTCTAAGCCCTTATTTAGTTAATGTTCACATGGTCCTTGATTCCCCTGCTAAGAAAGCGGCTTGCCGTTTCAATACGGCTCGTCGTGAATTCTTCAAAATGCTCCTATGACTGTTTCCCCCTCACTGACAGGAAAACGCAAATTTATTATGGATGATTTTGATGGTCAGGATCTTCAAATGGTGGACGTTGAAGTGATTGATAAGAAGCCTTGATTTGAATGATCCTGATTTCTCTGGTGTTACCTCTTTGATTACAACTTCTACGGATGGCTGTGTGGCGGAGATTGGGTAAACATCCCAATCCCGCGCAGCTCAATGAGTCTTATAAGCTGGAATTGCCGGGGATTGGGGAGTTCCCGGAAATTCGACGAATTGGGCAAAATTGCCCGAGAGAAGTCCCCGCATATGATCTTTTTGTGTGAGACCAAATATAATTGTTCCCGCTTTGAGCGTCTGAGGAATAAACTTGGCACGTTTGGCGTCTGTGTTGAAGCAAACGGAAACTCTGGTGGATTGGCGATGTTATGGCGGAAGGAAGTCGTTGTCAATTTGCGTTCCTTTTCTGATCATATGATTGATGTTGATGCTGAATTGTTGGGTCATTCTGTTAGAGTTACGGGGGTCTATGGCCAGCCTGATGTATCTTTGAGAAGAGAGCATGGGACCAGTTGAAGTCACTCTTTGATCCGAATCGTAATCCCTGGATTATGTTTGGAGATTTCAACGAAGTTCTTACTCATTCTGAGTTTCATGGTAGTCGATTGCGTGCAAACTGGCAAATTAAAGGATTTCGCTCTGCTCTTAATCATCTTGAACTCCATGATATGGGATTTGATGGTTATAAATTCACCTGGCAACGTCTCCTCTCTCACCCGCAAACTCAGCGAGCTCGTTTAGATCGATCCACCTGCAACTCCAATTTCTTCCATCTCTTTCTGTCGAGCTCTGTCACTCATGTTCCTGTTTTCATCTCTGATCACATGATATTGCATATCCAAATAAGAGAGCGAGAGACCAATGTTCAAGTTGCCAGGCGACGGAAACCTTTCCGTTTTGAAGCTCACTGGGTGAATGTGGTTGATTGTGAAAAAATAATCCAGGAAAATTGAAATTCTGATCTTGATACTCTTGAAAAGAAGCTGGAACATGTTCATGTTGGACTCTTGAATTCGGGTAGGAATCACAAGTCAGACTTTGAGCAGCGGATTACCTTCCTGAAAAATGAAAAATTGAAGCTGCAAAGAGGATGCATAGATGACCCAGATCGTTTGAAGTTGGGGGAACTAGAAAGGGAACTGGAATTGCTGTCTGTACGTGAAAATCTTAAACGGAAGCAAATAACTAAACAACATTGGTACAAAGAGAGGGATCGTAACACCAAGTTTTTTCACGCTTTTGCCAATAAACGGAAATCAACAAATCATATTTCCGGCCTCAAAGACAGCTTGGTAATCCTAAGGCATGAAACTCAAGACTTGGAGAACATCATTACGGATTATTATGTTCTCTTTTCGCGTCTTCTAGACCTTTGGAATCAAAAATACAACAAGCAGTAAGTCGGATCGTCCCAAGGGTGACTTCGGATTTGAACGGTTCATTGATCGAACATTCACGGCAGATGAGGTTGTAAAAGCTCTAAAGGAAATGACATCTTTCAAATCCCCCAGTCCGGATGGTATGAGTCCCATCTTTTTAAAAAAATTCTGGCACATAGTCGGTAATAATGTCACTTCTTTTGTTCTGAACTTTTTGAACTTTGGTCATTTTAATGTTCAAGTGAATTATACTCACATCGTTTTAATTCCAAAAGTGAAAAAACCTGACATCATTACCCAATTCCGTCCTATTTTTTTATGTAATGTAGTGTACAAGTTGTGTTCAAAAGTTATTTCTACTATATTACGTTTAATACTTCCTTCTATCATTTCAGAGTCTCTGCCTTCGTTCCTGGTCGTTTAATCAATGATAATGTTTTGTTAGCTTACGAAACCCACCATCACATGAAAATTCGTCCCAAAAGTAATAAGGGTTTAATGTCTATTAAATTAGACATGAGTAAAGCTTTCGACCGTGTTGACTAACATTTTTTAAAATCTGTTTTATCAGCCTTAGGTTTTTGTGAATCTTTCATCTCTCTGATTAGCACATGCATCTCCTCAGTTCGTTTCTCTTTCATTCTGAATGGACAACAAGTTGGTTCTCTCATTCCGGAAAGAGGAATTCGTCAAGGTGATCCTCTCTCCCCATATCTTTTCATTATATGTTCAGAAGTATTTTCATGTTTATTACAGGATCTCCAAAGGTGTGGAAGAATACATGGTGTTGGTGTATCTCGAGACGCTCCAGAAATCTCGCACTTTTTCTTCGCGGATGATACGCTGCTCTTTGGTAATGCTACAGAAGGTGAAGCTTGTTACCTTCAATGGGCTATTCAGCTTTATGAGCGTATCTCTGGTCAAAAAATTAACTTGGAGAAATCTGGTATTTTATTCTGTTCTAAAACTGAAATCCAGATTAAAGCTTCAATTTGCAACAACTTCGGTATCCCTGAGGTAAAAAGCCATGGCAAATATTTAGGGTTACCCTCCATTGTTGGCAAGTGTAAGAAAGAGGTATTCTCAAGCATCAAAGATAGAGTCTGGCAAAAGATAAAATGCTGGAGTTCGAAATTTCTCTCGTGGGCTGGTAAGGAACTTCTAATCAAATATGTTATTCAAGCAATTCCTTCTTATGCGATGTCATGTTTTATGCTTCCGGATAATGTCTTGGACGATCTGCAATCTTTGGCCTGCAACTATTTTTGGGGTGGTTCAAAAGATAAAAGGAAACTTCACTGGTCTTCATGGTCATCCATGGCTCATAATAAAAAAGATGGAGGTTTACGGTTCCGTAATTTGAAAGCTTTCAATATGGCCATGTTGAGCAAACAAGCCTGGAAGCTCCTCACCTCACCACATTCTCTTCTTTCTCGGGTGTTAAAGGCTAAGTATTTTCCGATGCAACACTTTTTTGATAATTGTCTTGGCTTGAGACCTTCCTGGACATGGCGCAGCATTCTGGAAGGGAGAAAAGTGCTGGAGTTAGGTTGTCGAAAGCAGATTCGTAGCGGCGAACAAACACACATTTGACAAGAAAAATGGATTCCTCTGGAACCTTCCTTTCGGACTTCTACATCACCATCCATACTGCGTGCTACAACAACTGTTTCCTCTTTGATCCATCATGATCTGGCAGGATGGAACACAGACCTCATCACTGCCATCTTCCCGCCGGTTGAGTCCTCCGCAATCCTGTCCATGGCAATTCGTCATTCTCAGACTCCTGATCGTTGGATTTGGCACCACACAGAGAAAGGCCATCATACTGTTCGTTTTGCCTACTTTCAGTTGCTATACTCTCCGGATTTCAGTCAGCAGACCAACTCTTCGTCAATAATGCCGCTCGGAATTCATGACCCGCTATGGAAGAAATTGTGGAATCTCAAGCTGCCAAATAGAATCCTCCTTTTCGCATGGAGGCTGTGCAACAATTCTCTCCCTACTCTAGGAAATTTGGCCATCAGAAATCTAAATTATGATGCGTCTTGTATTTTCTGTCAATAGAACGCTCTCAACACTTGCCACATCTTTTTTGATTGCCCTTTTGCCACACAGGTTTTCAGGATTGCAGGCCTTCATGACCAGATCCTCCTCCGTCGACGTCCGTTGTGTGACTTTTGGCTTCGAACCCTGATACTTGATGCTCAGTTGCTTCCTGCACTTTTCTGATTGCTCTACTCTCAGGTATTTGGTAGGCCAGAAATGCAAGGATATTTGAACAGCAACTCACTTCGTCGTGGCCTCCTCCACCAGATGCTATTCGAGTGCTCTTCGATGGCTCAATAAACCACACTGCTACCTGTGCTGGAGCTGGCATAATCATCCAAAGTGCTGATGGTCAGTTCATGCGGAGGCTCTGGCTTTGCGTGAAGCCTTACTATTTTGTAGAAGTCTGGGACTTTCTAACGTTGCAATTTAGGGAGATTCTTCTCTAATAGTCTTGGCAGCCTTGAAAGATATTGATGGCCCCTCTGCTTGTGTCCCGATTTTAGAAAATGTAATCTATATTCGTCAAGAACTTCCACTTCCATATGTATCTTGGGTTCCTATGTCCGACAATGTAGTAACTCATTCTCTTGTTAAGTATGCCAAAATGACTTCTGTAATCGAAACTGTTTGGAATGATCTTTCAAACTTTGTTTCTCAATTGGCGCTGAACCATTTCCAGTAATCATTAATGAATATCTTTTTTTTTTTTAAAAAAAAGACTAAACTATGTCATCACACTCATCGAAATAGATCTCTTAATCTAGTTGTCTTAATTGTTTCCCAAAAACCTTTAACTGTTGCACAAAGTTGGGTTACATTTTATGGGCTTAGACCAGGGGCCCATATTTTGTCAGTGGATTGGGTCACTGATTAAAATAGTTCAGTACATAACTGGTTTAGACAGCCCATTAATTTTTTTTTTGAAAATGGGAAAATAGGAAATGTTGCCCCAAACTTTATGCTCGGAGCTTTTTAATTGAAGGCAAATTAAAAAACCTAGGGTTTCTGTTCTGATCTTCGTCATCCTTAACAATGGTGAAGCCTGGAAAGAAACCCAAGGAGAAAAAAGCTCCTACCAATGGAGAATCTGCTCCCGAAACCGTTGCTGCGTCGAATTCCAGCGTCTTCGATTCCATCTTCGGAGGAGCACAGGAAGAAAATGTTGCTACAGCCTCCATGTTTTCCGACAATAATCCATTCAGAAGAAAGCCCGGTGGCTATACCCAGGAACCGGTGGATAAAAAGCAGGATCTCGGTTCGGGTTCTGAAAGCCCCAATGTGAAGAGGAAGAGGAACAACGAGGGTGGAGATGGCGGTGATGAAGCGACTCCTTCTGAAGAGGAAGATGGTGGTATGAAGAAATTGAAGAGGGGTAAATCGTTGGACGGGAGGAATGAAACGCGTGCGGAGAAAAAGAAGAAGAGGAAGAGGGATGAAGTGGAAGCTGAGTATGAGGCAATGAAATATGGAGTAGTAGCGGAGGAGGAGCAGGTGAAAGTGGTGGGAAGAAAAAGGAAGACGATGGATAGTTTGAAGGATATAGTGGTGGAGCCTAAGGAAAGCATTGATGATGAGAATAAACTTTTGAGGACTGTCTTTGTTGGGAATTTGCCTGTGAAGATAAAGAAAAAGGAGCTGATTAAGGAGTTTGGGAAGTTTGGTGCGGTGGAGTCTGTGAGGATTCGATCCGTTCCTCTAAACAATGTGAGTATCCTCCTAGCTTTTATTCTCCGTCAAATGTACATGCTTCAGAGGGTGTGGATTTAACAAGCTTTTTTTTTTTTGTTTTTTAGGTGACAGTTCCTCGAAATGTTGCCATACTGCAGAACGAAATCAACGTGGCTGTTGACAGGTTCTATTCTGTTTCCTTAGAATTTTGTAAAGCTTTTGGTGGATTGGGAACGCAAGTAGTTGTAATTCACAAGGCGCACTACAAAGTTTTTCTCATATATTTCCGTTTTGTGTGAAGTAAGAAGTTCTAGTAAAGTTCCATTTGTATTATTTTAGGTTGCTAATTTTAAAAAATGCATTGCCCACAATAGGACCATTTTTTCTATGGGGTGAAAATAAATAGGCTCTTATTCGACACCCACACTAATAGGATTTAAGAGATGTTGTACTGAGTTTCCTTAAGGAACTTAGTTGAATATCAGATCGATCTTTAGTTGTTTTCTTTGTGGTTAATGACTCTTTGTCTTTGCTTTCATATTGCTGGTTTGATCTATTCCTTAAACTACTTTCGTTGCTGCAGTGTCCATGCTTATGTTGTGTTTACAACTGAGGAATCCGCTCAGGCGTCGTTGGACTATAATATGGCAGTGGTAATTGTTTTCCCATACAACATGACCTACCATTTTTTGGAGGGTGACTGAATAACTTCATACCTTTTGAATGCTCCATTCTTGCACTCATCTCAATTGTTAATGGGTTCAGGTTGGTGGACATCATATCCGTGTAGATAGGGCGTGCCCACCACGGAAGAAGCGGAAGGAAGATGATAATCTGGTCTATGATAATAAGAGGACCGTTTTTGTTGGAAACCTCCCATTTGATGTGAAAGTGAGCTGCTTTTTGTTATTCTTCAAAGTATTTGCAGTTTACCATTTGTCAACATATTGAAATTTCACTTGGAATTTGTCGTAGGATGAAGAATTGTATCAACTATTTAATAGTATCAAAGAATTGGAATCCAGCATTGAGGCGATTCGGATTGTTAGAGATCCCGGTACCAGCTTGGGGAAAGGCATTGCTTATATCTTGTTCAAATCAAGGGTACAATTAATTGAATTTATTTATTTATTTATTTTAAATCTTCTATGAATCAGCATATTTAGCGTCATGTTGGTTTGTTATTCCAGCATTAAAATTGATATGCTGGCGATTTTGACCTTCTCCTTCCACTTTTAATGCATGTCTAAGTGCAAAGATGATAAGGACACTTGTAGCTGTGAGATATCTGTTAAAAAATGATTAAAAAAAATTCAGAACTTGGGAGTTTGAATATTTTGCCTCAAGTTGAATCGGCTTCATTGATAATCTTGTGATTGTGTCTGTATGTATGTTTTTTCCTTGATGTGGAAGTATAGGGGGTGGTGAGAAAGGATTTTCAGAACAATATATGTACAATGTGGACTACATGTAGTGTGGGTCTCCAGGAATGATTAGTTTTTCCTTTCCTTCTCTAGAAACAATAAATATTGTAGATTGAGAGAGTGATTCTAATCGAAGTGAAATTGAAGTGTTTCAGTTTCTGAAGAATGATAATAGAAAAACAGCTCACTTCATGTGGATTATACGTCGAGCTTGTTGGCTTTGTCCCGTTTTCTTTAATTGTTTTGGATGCATAAGCCTCAAAGTCTGTTGGTTAGATGGAAGCTCTGAAATCCCCCTGGGATATATATTGTCAGCTTCCATCTGTTCATGGAGGTTTTTTGTACCAAAAAAAGTAAGTTGTGGCAGGTTGTGCCAGAGAAGGAACAGTTATGTATATATATACTTGTGTTGATTAATTTTATTTTGAGACTCACTTTGTGTAGTAATTGTGGGAAATTTTTTACATCTCTTCCAAGCCTTTCAATATTGTTGCTCTGACCACATTTCATGACTTTGCTGCATAGTGACATCAAATCCACATGACGTGGTGCATTCTTTTGCCTAGTTGAGTGTGATATGTTGGTTTCTGTTTGGTTTTAAGACAAACTTTGCCGATGACGAAAGAGATACTCTTGTTTTAGATATGTGTGTCTGTGGCTTCCCCATTAAGCAAAGTGTATTTATTGTACATGCAGGATGCAGCAAACCTTGTCGTCAGAAAACGTCAATTGAAGCTCCGGGATCGTGATCTTAGGCTTTCTCATGCAAAAGCTTTGACGCCGCCTTCAAAGATTCAAAATCCCTTACCTGAAGAGGCAAACCACCCTGCAGCCATAAGAATTGCTTTGAAGTCCAAATCCGTTGATCCTAATTCTAAGATTAAATTAAAAGAATCCCGCATTTATCAGGGACTTAGGGCAAGCAAAAGTGGGATCGAGAAAAAAAGGCGCACCGTAGTTAAGTTGAACATGGATGATAAGAAGGCACGTCCTCGAAAAGAGCGATCACATAAGAGACCTGCTGTAGCGGCCAGAAAGGCTAAAGTTCTAAAGGAAAAACAAACTGGAGTGAAGCGCAAACTAGAGAAGCGAACACCGGATACAATTGGTCAGAAGAAGAAAGCAAGGAAATTTAAATAAATTATACTGTGTCTCACTGAGGTAACTTTTTCATATATATGATGATACTTCCCTTAGATAGTTCTAATGTGCATACTGAAAGGACTTGTTACTAAGAAGCGAACTCCTAGTCTGGCTTGTTGTTGCTGTAGAAGTATCGTCCTGATGTGGAGGATGAAAGGATGAAAACCAAATGTTTTATTGTTATTGTAGTGGTTGCTTGAGTCTGTGGATGTTGTCTTAGTTGATAAGGAGCTTCTTTACTTCAATATCATTCTGTTCCTGTTAGATGCTTCTGTGATTTTCCACAATTGTCTGCGAGTGAAATTCTGATTTCCATGTGCAAAATAAAAGTAGATCTCACTGTATATTAGAGCTTTACGAAGGAAGAATTTTCGTAAGGTTTAAACCAGTGAATACACTGATGGCCAGAGTTCTCGTAGATGCCTTTCTGATCTTCAAGTGATTAGTTCTGGAGGGCATAAAGCAGTATGGACTCCAACATTGCCAATTTGGCAAAAGGCAAAAATGGATGCAAGTCCGCTTATAATTTCTCAAATTTTGGCATTTTCTATCTTTTATACCCCCTCTGTTCCAAAAAAAATAATCTACATTGAGTTTTGAGTTCTATACTGTTTTTAGTACTCCTTCCGTTTCAAAATAAGTGTCGTTTTAACAAAATAGAAAAATTCCAAAATAAGTGTCGTTTTAGGATTCCAATGCATTTTTTGTTAAAAATTTCTAAACATACCATCAAAAGAAATAAGATTATTGCTAAGCATTATTTTAATAGGGTTGATTGCGGATATTCTAGTAATTGAACTATCACATTTAAGTGTTTTTTAAACTGTATGCAAATTCTAGAATGACATTTATTTTGGAATAGAAGGAGTATAAATTTAAAAATTCAATGTGGATTATTTTTTTTTTTACGGAGGTACTATCATTTATTATTGATCAGTATGGTGAAAGGGCAGTAGCACTGAAGCTTTATTTTGAAAAGTGCATACTTGTAAACCAAAAATAAGAAATAAAAAATCGCACACTTGGTGCTCACTTCTTATTGGTTAATCTATAGACTCAAAAGTATGTAATGTTCAGTTTTTGTTTTTGGGTCCAACCCGTTGAATTCATAAATTTCACAGTTTATATCTTATTATAACCGTAAACTATTTTTTACGGGAAAAACAATAGAATGTAGCGGATTAAAGAGTTTTTATTCATCAAACTAATTTTATATTTTATTTTATTTTATTTATTTTTTGCCGGGAGAACAATGGAATGTAGTGATTAAGGAGATTCCCTCGAAGATCAAAATTACTTTTCTATTAAATATGTACATGTGCTATCGAATTTCTTTAGGTATGAATGGCCAACCAAATCTTTTGATTTTCCAGATGAACTAGGGAACCAAATTCTGAACCACGATAAAGATACAATACTTTGGGGAGTGGAAAATGCATATCTTCTTGAAATAAATTACTTGCGCCGCAAGTACTTTTTTTTTTTAATTTTTTTTAATTTCAGTATTTGAAAATTTCAACTCCAGAATACAAAAGCTAATTGTGAAAGCTAATTGCAATAAACTCCTTCCAAAAGTCAAATTTTCCAGTGTTCCTTGAAGTCTCTTAAACACCAGGTGAGATTGGTTATGACTCCACTCTTCCGCTAATCAAACATGTGTAGCAGAATAAATTGGAGGTACATCTATTATGGTAAACAAATAAAAATGCAATCACGTCATTTTATAAATCAACTTTGTCCGTTCGAAAATAAGAATTATGTCCATTGCAAATGATAACATGATTCGCTAAACTATTTTAATACTACAAATGGTACTATTTTATTAGGAAACGGGGTGGGTTAGAGCTTGATTTTGTTGCCCTTGTTGATTCCAATCTTTGAGGGAAAGGTCGGTTTATCAATGTCGGTCTTTGGAAGTGCATTTTGCGAGGTGAAAGGACTTGATTTGCAATTAATCTAAAAATATAATCACTGCTGTATTACTTTTGAAAAGTCAAAGATATTGGCCAAATTTCACACCTATAAATTAGTTCCAATTCCGCCATAGAAATTCCGTGTAAGCTCAAAAGGAAAAACTTTCAGAAGAATGTCTTCGAGAAGAGGCGGCTATAGAAGAGGAGGCAAACAATCTCAATTTCATCATCCCCGCCAGCACGATCGAAACGACGAACTATGGACTGTTAAACCCATTCACGATGACGCCGGAATTGCGACTTCAAGTTCCGACCAGAATGCCAATCATCCGACGACAACAGCCCAATCAGCGGGTGTTGCGGAATTCGTCCCGAGGAATCGGAAATTTCAGCAGAATAGGAGGAATTCGAGGAGGGATAAGCAGAACCGACGACCGGAGGTGGGTTCTGTCAGTTCCAGTGAAAGGAGCTATGAAGAGGAGAAAAGTATTGAACAACCTAGCATCTCAAATAGTTGTGATTCGAGGTTAAATGGAAGTGGGAAATGTTCCGGAGACGTTGAATTGAAGAGGGATGATGATAAATTTGAAAATGTAGATGTTAACGAGAATGACGAGGAAAGGAAGCCTCAAGGATCTGTTTCCGGTGACGAGGAGGAGGTCGATGAGGTACAGAGAAGGTTACAAGAATTTTCGTTGATTTTTCAGGAGCCTGAGTTGTTGGAAGAGCAGCTAAAGGTCAATGATCAAGCGCAGGAGGATGAGGTAAACTAGTACTGATAAATTAGCAGCTAAATTTCTTGTTCTTTATTTTGCCTTAATAAATCGAGTTCCTGCATTATACTTGTTCCGATCCTTTATAACTAGCTTTCGTAATGTTTATTACAATGCTAAACGAGATGAAGTCCTATTCAACATGTTAACCGGGCGAATTATACTTTTCCCATTTCCGTTTAGCAGGGTGAGGAGCATATAAAGTTTAAAAGAAGATTAAAACTTCTGCTATATCCATGTTTCTGAAACTAACCACTAGCTAGGAGAAGTCTGTTGTTGGTAGGAGTTGGATTGAGATGAAATCTACAATCCACAAGTTGTTACTCCTTGGATGTCACTTTAATTTTATTGAACACATCTAGGTACCATTTTCGTGGGATTGTCCATGAACTCATCTAATGTCACATTTTAAATTTATTATGCAGTCTCTGGGCTCAACAAGACCAAGTACATAGTATGTTTTAAAATTGGCCTTATGGAAAAAGTCTTTATTTTCTATGAAATGTGTAATGTAGCACTCATGTTTTAAAATTGGCCTTATGAAAAAAATCTTTATTTTCTATATTCGTTGGTTTTGTTTAAGAAAATGGATATACATAACATATTGATTGAGCATTATGTGGCTGTTACATGTTGTATATTATCATTATTCAATACGGGGAAGAGTGTTTTGAATTATAAAAAACTAAAAACCAATCTTTTTGGCCAATCCACTGTTAAGCTTTTACATGATTAACTAGCATGTTTTTTGGAGACCAAACATTTTTCTTTTTTTGTAGATATTAAATAAATAGAACTGAGAAATGCTGTTTGTGAGAGAAATAATTGGTTTAAGGAAATAATTGGTTTAAGGATGATGTTTTTAATATGGAGGAATAAAAAGGAGTTTTGCGTAATTGAGTTCAGATCCTTGATCTTGCACATGAACTATAAGTGCTTAGGTTATGTGATTTAAATTATTGTTTTTTTCTTTGAAATGGTGATTTAAATTATTGGTAAGTTAAATGATACAAGGTAGATAGACTGTTTACACTGTCTCTTTACTGACAAATGCATTTAAAGTTTTAGACATTTCTTTGGTTCTGAGTCTTTCTTCTATGACAGCAATAAGAGAACTGTGAACTTCAGATTTTATTTTATATCTGTTTCGTTTATTGCTTGATTTTATTTTATATCTCTTTCGTTTATTGCTGAGTTAGATTTGGTTAACCTAATATTTAACCTTCTCTGCTCATATCAAGCTAATGTTGATATTCTCGGCCTCCTTTAAGAGTGTAATGAACTAAACTAAATAGATTTTTAGGTTCGAGTTTACCTTCTCAGGTACTGATCTAGATAGCACGAGTAGGTTTATTAAACTTAGAATAATAGCTAAAATCTAGTCGACAAAAGCTATTAACTTTTTCGTTCTATCTTCCTTACTTTGATTCTCGCCGTCTCTCTGTCTTTCTGGCTTTGTCTTTTGCATATATTCTATCTAAATTGCAATCGTTGTTCTTTAACTGGTTTCAGTTACTCGCTATGGAGGCCATTTATGGAGACACCATGTTCATCCTTGACAGACAGAATGGCTTGCGATGTTTCCAGGTTTCATAATTGACACATGACTTTTTATTGTTTAGAGGATGTATTCTAACACAGCATTCTAAAACAAGAAGTTATACTCTAACACAGATTCACATTCACGTCGACACACCAAAGGAAGTTTCTGTATCTGTGAACCTGAGTTCATCCACTGTCCTTGAGAGAGAAGTTGATACACCAGAATTCTCCTATTCTTTTAAAGTCGATTATCTGCCGCCAATTATATTGACCTGTGTATTACCTCACTCATATCCAAGTCACAGCCCCCCTTACTTTACTATTTCTGTTCTGTGGTTAAATTCTGCTAAAATTTCCACTCTTTGTGGTATACTGGACTCAATTTGGAATGAACAATCAGGGCAAGAAGTTATATACCAATGGGTGGAATGGTTACGTAGTTCTTGCCTACCTCTTCTTGGTTTTGATCGAGAAATAATACTTGGACCCTGTGGTGGATTACATGAAGGAGACAAGCGTGCGATTTCTAGGAGTGTCTCTGCCGAGGTCGATATTCCATTGATCAAAAGTTATAATGACGAGCAGCGCAGTGAGAACTTCTCTAAAGATCTCCACGAGTGCTGCATTTGTTTTAGCGAGTTCCCAGGTACCCCATTTATTCCTTAAAATTTCATTCTATGTGTGGTTGACTAAAATTGTTAATATTCTCTCTGCCAAATATAACAATGAGATTGATTCCCCTTTTTTGTTTTTATATTCAAATTCTTCGTTAGTTGTCACTTGTCACTGGTTAGCAAAATTGGTCTTTTGAGTCCTACGAGGCTACGAGTTGTCTTTGGGATTGCTTCTTTTTAGAAGTGTTTGATTCTCTGTGACAGAAAATTGCTCAGATTGTCACTTAAAAGAGGTAGCATGGCTTCTTTCTGCTAATGGTTTTTCTTGGACCTTGGTTATGTGCTTTTTGTCTAAATCATATCTGTAAACAAGATCAACCTGGTTATATCCAGTGGAGAGTACATTATAGTCCATTATAATGTTTTGCTCGTTAAGTTCCATTCATCTCTTTTACTCCGTAAGATGTTTTCTGTTTACGGTAGAATGAGTTTCTGGCTCTCTATTGCTTTTATGAAGTGTATTACCCCTACCTGAATTTTTTTTTACTCTAGCTGAAGACCAATTATAGAATAACCAAAATAAGGTTCTCATTATGTACTGCAATCATGATTTTTATGTATATTCCACCTTACTCTCAGGCACAGAGTTTGCCAGACTGCCTTGCCAGCATTTCTTCTGCTGGACATGCATGAAAACCTATGCCGAAATGCATGTGAAAGAAGGCACTGTTAACAAGCTTCTATGCCCTACTGCAAAATGTTGGGGCATGATTCCACCTGGTTTACTGAGACGATTACTTGGTGATGACGAATATGAAAGGTGGGAGTCAATGTTGTTGCAGAAGACATTAGAGTCAATGTCTGATGTGACTTATTGCCCAAGGTGTGAAACAATTTGCATTGAGGATGAAGATGAACATGCACAATGCTCGAAATGTTTCTTTAGCTTTTGTACCCTATGTAGGGAGCGGCGGCATGTTGGAGTTGTATGCATGACCCCAGAGATGAGGCTTCAAGTTTTGATGGTATTGCTATTATGTCTGATAATGCATTCTGTGTTTCTGAAGTTTGTAGTTCTAGCATTATATGAGTGTAGCTATTAAGTTGACTTCCAAGTCAGCTCTTTAAGGCAGATGAAGAATGAACTAGATCGGTCTTCTACACATTAGGCTGCAGACTCCCTATGTATAAAATGTGGAGGAAGTTCAAATTTTCTCTTTTTCATTTGCTGCTTATATCTTGCCCGATAGATGTTGAGATATATTTGTCTGTTTTGGATTTCTGAAAGTTGGTTCTTTGCTACAGGAGCGGCAGAATTCATCTCAACTTAAACCAGAGCATAAGCGGCGCGAGAAAGAAATGATCAATGATATGTTAAGTATGAGAGAAATAAATACTTTTGCAAAGCAATGCCCTTCATGTAATATGGCTATCTCAAGGACGGAAGGTTGTAACAAGATGGCATGTGGTAATTGTGGAAGCTATTTTTGCTATCTCTGCAAGAAGCAAATTGATGGATATGAACATTTCAGGTTTGTCAATCACTCTTAGTCTTCCCATTAGACATTATTGGCTTGCCTTATATTTGCGCCTGTGTTTTCAAAAGTATCGCACTATTGATAGAACTCTTTACTGTAAAGGAATGGAAGTTGCAATCTTTTCCCAGCAGAAGAAATCCAGAGGTGGGAGGAAGTAAATGCTCGTCAAGTCATTGGTCAAATCCAAGCTCAACTGTACGCTGGTAATGGTCACCCATGCCCAAATTGCCGCCAGTTTAATGTAAAGGTGAGAGAATATAGCAAGCTTACAGGCCTTCATTTTAATACAGTATTATTTTATCTGTTATTAGTGATATCCTTTGAGACTTAGTATCATTATAGTGGTAAATTTATCCAAAGTTATAAGCAATATTAGCTACATCATACTATGCCACTGGATGTTTTTCCAATAATCAACTTCAGCTGGTCACTTTAATTCGGATGGGTGTCCACATACTATTACGTGCAAAAATAAGAGGGGAACAATTTAATTGTTGATCAATCATGAGGACATGTTTTTCTGAGTAGCCAACACCATATACTAGGTTGAAGACTAAATTATTGATGTTGGTCTATCATTCTGTCAAGGAAGATTTTTGTCTGTTGTGACAAGTCACTATGGAAGCTCCCTCACATTAGAAATTTTGCCATGGTGCATAGAAGCTCCTGCATGTGTGAGGTGTGGAAAAGGGCCAGGCCATTAAGGGCTACTGTAGGTAGTCTAAAAGTATTAATAGGCTATGTTTATGACCAAAACACACGACTTAAAAGTCTCATTTCAGCAGCTCTTACCACTGTGCTAAGCTCCCTTAATGTGGTGGCTGAATTTAGAAGTTATGTCAATAAAATGCTGGATATTTGCATTCCCAATCATCATATGGCATGTGTTAGCCTTTACTTAAATTCATGCCATCCTTTTATTATCTTCCTTAAATCGATGAAGTCTGATGTCCTCTTGATTTTCTTTCTTGGTGCATCGATAGGTTAACAACAACAATCATATCTTCTGCTGGGCATGTCAGAGCCATTACTGCTATTTATGTAAGAAAATGGTGAAGCGCAGCGCCCAACATTTTGGACCAAAAGGTTGCAAGCAACATACGGTCGGGTGACTGCCTTTGTAAACTCCACGCACAACATACCAAGAACTGTTGTTCATGACGAGCGCGCGCAACACCAAGGCTCTTACTTACGAATGTGCTCTGCTCAAATTCAATAATAGATGTGGCAAAGTTCCGTGGAACGTTAAATTCTTTATTATACTGCATAGAGCAAGTCAGAATCTTGCTGATGACAGTTAGCTGCTTTGCAGTAAATTCATTTGTTATTACTTGTTCTTTTCTTCTAGTATCCGGGAGTTATAGTTTTGCATGTAGCGAGGTGTGTTATAGTATTCAACCTGCACGTAGTTCAATTTTTCACTCTTAGCTATAATAATTTTAGTGCAAGTAGTCAATATTGAAAATTCAATAAAAAAAAAATTGTTACGGCCACATGCAACTGAATGAAAGGTGAAAATTTCCTTTTCAAAAAAAAGAAAGGTGAAAATTTCAAATAATTGTTTCGAGCTTGTTTAAAATGTGGTATTCCTTGATGGGTACTCTCACTGTCAATACTCGGTAGTTCAAAGAATGGAATGATTCCAAATTTTTTATGTTGGTGATTGGTTTTGTTTTAAAGGGAATGGAATGATACCTTGTTTTATCATCTTTTATGATAAAGTGCGAATTTCTTATATTTTTTATGATAAAGTTATTTCCTAAATTATAAACTTAATTTATAATCATATCAAAATTATAAATATAATTGAATTTGAATTCAAACTATATGGTTTATTATTTTCTTTTTGGATGATGATATTGCCAGCACAAAAAATAGCTTCTAGAGCAAATTTATCAGTAAAAGACTAAACTATACTATCGATTCATCGCTGTTCTTTCTCCCAATTTTTCTTTCCGAATCACGACCTTCCCCGTGCCTTCCTCCTCCTTCTCAAACCACCACATCTGGGGGTGCTTTGGTTAAAAAATCAATTAGAAAAAGGAGTAGAGAGATCTATATATATATATATATATATATATATATATATATTTTGTAAAGCAAAATGTGGAGATCGAATGCTCAAAATCCGATCTACTAATTAAATTAGTAGTTCGGATTTTACGAATCTGATTTAATAAAATAATAATTTTTTTCCGAAAAATACATGTGAGAAAAATGTATTGAAAGTCAAATAATGAACAGTAAAAGGTCGGATTTTAGGAATCTGACCTTGTTTATTTTTATTAAAAAATATAGGCGGGAGATTTGAAAATTAAGAACAATACAAGGTCGGTCTACATTAGGGACGAAGAAGAAGAAGAAGAAGAAGAAGAAGAGTCCTCTCCACCTCGTGTTTCTTCCCAAAAGAAAAAGAAAATGGTCGAGGTTCGCAAGAGTGATAGGGTTAGTAAACCGGCCAAGAAGTATACTCCCGGCGACGGGGCTATAAGGAAGAAAAGGTCGTCAAAGTAATTCAATTGTAGGGCTCTTTTATTTATAACTCTTTCCTGTATAAATGTTGTAATTTGGATGATTTGAGATTTGAATTTGTTAATGTTTGTTTTGATGTGTTTAAAATGTGTTTATAGGTAAATTTATGCGTGAAATTTGGTTTTGGTACTGTTTTGATAGGTTGGGATTGGTTTAGAAACCAATCCTTTATTTTTTTCAAAGTGTCTGTCCAAGGTCGGATTTGAGAAATCCGACCTTCTACTTGTTTTACGAAGAAATCGGATTTTGAGAATCCGAACTTAACTTACACGGATTCTCAAAATCCAATTTAAACTTACCCGGATTTCTGAAATCCGACCTTACACTAAAATCGGATTTTAAAAATCCGACTTTGGTCAAAATTTTATTTCAAAAAAAAAAACTAAGTGTTTTTCTGAAAATATTTTATTTTAATATGATAGGGTCGGATTTTCAAAATCCGATCTTCTCTTAATCTTGATTAATTTCATTAATTTTTCGTATTAAGGGAAGGTTGGATTTTGAGAATCCGATTTAACTGGAAAATCGGATTTTAGAAATTCGATATCGGTATTTTGCTCTTCCCCAAAATTCGACCTATATTTATCTCTACTCCTTTTTTTGAACCATTTTTTAACTCAAAAACTCCCACATCTGGATATTTCCGACTCTATTCCCTTTCAATACACAAACTAATCTATAACAAAGGTTTAATTTTAGGCACGTGTATGAGATCAACAATGTTTGCATTAAGCAATTAAATCAATTAACTTTTCATTGAAAACTTTCGCACCCATGTTATAATTAATTAAAAACTCCTAAAAATGTTCTCCTTTAATATATTGTCAACACTCCCAACAACAAGGAAATTTAATCTTTGTTTTTCGATAAACCCTTGCCCTCAGGGCTGGAATGATAAAGATGAGGTATTGGGTTTAGGATTGTCGTAGATCTTGTAAAGTGTTTTTTTTTTTTTCAAATTTGCTTTACGGTTTGATAAATGATAAAAATTACACATTAATCACTTTCAAATTTGAAAATGAATAGTCCTAATTAGTATAAGTGATTCACGTATTATAATTACACATTTATTAAAATGGAATGTGCAAGGTTTTTTTTGGAATGAGATCAATAATATCCATAGTATTATACTAAGAGAGAAACTAAAGAGAGGAAATCAAACTTCTCCTCCCATTAACAAATAGGACAAAATTTTATGTGTCATTTTCCTATAGGTTGATACAAAAAATATTTACAACAATTACACTAACAGTCTTTTGAATTTTTAGTTAATAAATTGTTATCAATTTTTTAATTAAAGTATATCAGTTAATTGTGTGATAAGCATTCTATTTTGCATTCCCTAAAATGAAAAAAAAATGAAAATTTTTTTAAATCTCAACATTAAATAAGATTGATTTGAAAGAGATTATTGATTGGCTTGAATAATGGCATTACGTCTTGATTTGATCACTAAACAATATTAATGATTATTTGAAATTCAAAAATAATAAATACAAAATCATCAGTGATTCTTTAATTCAACATCAAAGGTAATTGATTTAAAAAGATTCTCCGATTATATATTGGTTTGATTATTAAACAATATTAATGACTTTTTGAAATTCGAAAATAAGAAATATAAAATCATCAATGATTCTTTAATTTAACATTAAAACTGATCGATTTAATAAGATTTTCCGATTGGCTTGAATAATGTCATTACATATTAGTTTGATCATTACAATATTAATTGTTTTTGAAATTAAAAAACAATTAAACATAAAATCACTCCAATATTAATCCATTCACTTCATTTTAACACAATCAAATATAAACATATGGCTAAAATCAATCCAATCGCAATAATTATGTTACTAAAATTATTATGTATATATAAAGTGTGCTTATAAAACTCAACTGGCTTGTAATCTCAGTTTACACTGGAATCTTTTCTTCTTCTTCTTCTTCTCTCTCTGTTTTTTTTTTTTAGAATTTATGTTTTTTTAATAATCATTATTTTTTGGTTTCAAAAGTTTTTTGCTTCTAACTTTTGCTAGGTATGGTCAAATATTTTTCTACAACGAGGATTTTCGAATGCACATCCACGGTGAGTTTCTTTGCCAATTTAATTAATGATTTCAATGTTTGATTTTTTTTAGGGACATCATGGCGAAATATATGATGATGATTCGCGAAAATGAAATCATTGGGTATAGTGATAGGTAGACCCATTTAATTGTCATGTATTAATATGAAACCTTTGCTTCAAATTTTTTTTAAAAAATTATTTTACCTTATGGTATAATTTATTTCTTTGGAGCATCTTAGACAAATGAATTAGAGAAGGCATCGTGGTTCTGGAGATCAGTAGTCAACGTTGTGACCGATGGTGTTGTTGCCTAAGCATGGTCATATTTTTCAGTTTGGCTTATACGTCCGAAGGTCACTTTGAAATCTAAATAATCTCATTGAGTTCTAATGCTTTGTCATGATGGTACAATATCATAAGCAACTGGAGTAGTCAAAGATGCCAAATTACGAATACAAAATATATTTAACATGTATATCAATATATTGGATCCCTTTATTTTCTTCTGTAAATAAATAGCGCATAAAAATTACTTTTAATATAACATTATTTAATTTAGTGTTTTTAAATTGTATATCAATTTACTAACGTATAAAATATTTCTTTGATTTTTATTATGTTCGATTTTATACATAATTTATCTATTCCGCACATCGTGCGGGTACCATCTAGTTAGATATATTTAATGTTAATTAATTTAGATAATTATAGTGAATGTGCTAATATATTATAACTAATATTTTTAGAGACTATTATCTAAATGTTGAAATTTTTTTTTCCAAATTTTAAGAGATTGCCACATAGGATTTTACCTTACATGGCGACGTAGAAACTCTTTTTAAAACTTCTCTATGATTTATCTCTTAGTATAATACTATAAATATCGAATCAAATTGATAAAAATCAGAAGACAAGGGACACGATTTTGCTGAATTTTTGCAGAGAGAGAAAGGAGGAAATGATGAACAGTCAGGGAGCAGAAGAAGGGTGAGGAAGGAGGGGAGGGTTAGCGACCAACAAAAAATTAGTAAAGGGTAATTTAGGAAACAAAGCAAAAAATTGCTCTTGAAACTAATAATTGATCAGGCAATATCACTACCTTTTTATTAATAACATATTTTGTTTCATGTATTAAATTTAATTTAAACCTTAAACTATTCAACACCAAACAAACTCAACCGATGTAATAAGTAAAAGTTATAATATAAGTTCTTAAAATCGAATTAATAAAAATATTTATTGATTTTTAAGAAATTTAATATTAATATTTTATTATATCTTAAACTTAATAAATCAAATAGTGAAAAAAAATGCTAGACTGATGTGCCAAACCATATTTTTGGGAATAATTATATCAAAACAATCAAACACTATCTCAATCTCAGTGTCGCTTCTAAAACATATTGTTTTTATGGTATTTTTTCAGAATTTGCCTCTTTCATTGTTAACAAAATAAAAATAAATTCACCCTAAAAGTAATAGTTTTTTTTCCTGTAAGCATAACAGATAGATACATATATTCAATATGAAAACTACAAGTTCTCAGTTCAGAGGACCTGCTTAGGTGCACAGAAAAAAAAGATGAGAAAAAAAAAGAAGAAAAAAAGACAAGCATTTCACAACAGAGGAGAGGGCATATTAAACACAGACTCGTATATTCTAAAGAAAATTCCTTCTCTATCTCCCTCATCATCCTCACCATCCTCATCATCCAAATCCATCGAATCCTCATTAGTTTCAAAATCCACGCCAGATTCAAAAACCACTTCATCCACATCATCACCATACAAATTCACTGGCATAACAAAGCGTACGACATTCTCCTCTTCTCTAATACGTACGGAACTCCAGCTGAACACCAAAGTGGTCCCGACGGAGACTGATAGTGTGTTCGCCATGAAAGCTTCACAAAAAAACATGACAGCAAAGATGACACCATAGCGGTTTAGACACCTGGAAGAAGACCGAGTCCCCCTGGAATTAATGAAGACAAAAGTACAAAACATCAGCCCACCACTCAAAAAATAGTAAAATGTTTGTGTCTGCAGCAAAGCTATACAACTAAATAGGTGTGTTGCACAAATAACCAATAAATATATGGTGAATACATACCACTCAGGAGAGAGAGAGAAAGAGACAAAATAACCTCTGGAAGCAAACTTAATACATTTAGTCATAACAGATATCTTAACTGAAAAGCCCAAAAACAGACTTAAGCATCAAAACAACACTTTCATATCTGCCGGCGGAGTGATAGTGAAAGTGATAACCTTGAAGTGGTACATAACCTCAATGGAGATGGTTTTATTATTCATAAAGACTGGTTAGATGAAGAAATTCTAGAATATCAATGGGTTAAAACACCGTGGGCTGCAACAGAAGGGCCATCGATAGGGGTTTTAGACATGAGTCGAAACGACACCAAGGAGCCCCCTTGGTGATACCGTATAAGGAAAACTCATAGTCGAAGACATAAAATTTCGAATCCGGCATAACATCGCTGATGCTTAGCAAAGCAGACCGCAACCAAGTATCCTTAAATCGTTGAATCGTCACCAAAGAAGCGACAATGGTTAGCGTTTGTTGGAGAACTAAAATTTGGAATGTATGTAACTGCAAAACGTCAAAAAGTAGGAAAAATATTTCCATATAGCTGCTGTATCCCTTTTTTTAGTGCAATAACGCATCCATTATACTGAAAAATATCATGGCCCTCCTAATTTTGTGGAAACTTTTCCGATAAAATTATAATCTTGCCCTATTTATGTGTCTGATTGCACAATACTACGTGTTACAGCAGCTGTATGGAAGATGTAAACCAAAAAAAAAAAAGGGAGAAACAGTTAGGAAAAAAACCTGTTTGTATTTATGATGAGACATAAGCCTAACAATAATAAGAATTATGTGGAAAAAAAAAAAAAAAATTTATGGAGAAGGTGACGCCAGCATGTTTTGGACTGTTTTTTGACCAGTGTTGACCAAAAACAAAAAAGCATATTAATGTTAATTTATTTATTTATTTATTTGGGAGAGGCAACGTCCTATATAACTTCATCATCATATCATAGTGGTACAAGAATTTGTCTGTAAAAAACTCAACAAACAAAACTTTTGATGGAGCATCAAAGCTGCGCGGCATTGTCTTCCTCAAGCAGGGGCGGCTGCAGAGCAGAAGGCAAACATCCTCACGATCACAGCGAATTTGGGCCATCAAGTTCACAGCAGAGTTTCAATCATCCCTCAAAAACAGCCCGAGGAAAGGGCTTTGCGGAATTCAATCCAAGTAACCGAAAATTTCGCCATAATCGGAGAAATTCGAGGTCCGATACTTGGAATCGACGATCCCAGGTGGTTAAGGATCAACCCGTCGAGATGGGCTCTTTGAGTACTGATGAAAGAAATTATGAAGCCGGGTCTGATGTGGGCTGTCAGAATATTACTCAATCCAGGTTCAACGAAAGAGGCAATTTTTCTGGAGACGAGGAATTGAAGAGGGATGGTGATAATGGTGAGTTTGTAGAAGTAAAGGAGGACGATGAGGAGGAGGAAAGAAAGTCTCAAGGGCGTGGTTCCAGTAACGAACAGGTCGATGATTTAGAGGAAAGGTTACAAGAATTGTTGTTGAGTTTAGAGGAGCTTGAGTTGCCTGAAGAGCAGCTAAGCATCAACGATCAAGCTCAGGAAGATGAGGTAAACTTATACTCCCTCAGTCCCTGAGAAATAGTCCACTTCTTTGGTGAACTAAAACAGGACAACAAAGTGGATTATTTTTCTAGGAGGGGACTACTTGTTAACAACTTAATTGTGGAGGTTTTATAAGTATCTAAACGTCTTGTTTCTAGTTACCATCTTTGTTGAATCCGAAGAAAAATTGGTTCTTGTGATCATTAGTAAAACCCGAAGAAAAATTGGTTCTTGTGATCATTAGTAAAACTTGTTCCTCTCAATTTGTTAGTTCGTCGCTGTCTTTCTGTGTGTCCACCTGTTGGCTATCTTTTTCATTGATCTCTATGTTTATTTAGCTATGTGAATTTTCGTATATTAATACATTTTTTACTGGTTCTAGTTACTAGCTATGGAGTCCATTTATGGAGACAACATGTTCATCCTTGACAAACACAATGGTCTGAAATCTTTCCAGGTAGCTTAGCTGACACCTGATCATACATTTTTTAAGTATAAAAGACGTCTCTAACGCCAATTATGTTGACCAGATACATATTCATGTTGAAACACCGAAGGAAGTTTCTGTATGTGTGAACCTGGGTTCATCCACTGCCCTTGAGGCTGAAGATGATTTGCCAGAATTCTCGTACTCATTTGAAGTCCAGTATCTGCCACCAATTGTAATTACATGTGTATTACCTCGCTCATATCCAAGTCACAGCCCTCCTTATTTTACCGTTTCGGTTCAGTGGTTACATTCTACTAAAAATCCACTCTTTGCGGCATACTGGACGCGATTTGGAATGAACAATCAGGGCAGGAGGTTATATACCACTGGGTGGAGTGGTTACATAGCTCTTGCTTTCCTTTTCTTGGTTTTGATAATGAAATTACACTTGGACCTTATGATGTATCGTATGAAGGGGATAAGCGTGCCATTTCTGGAAGCATCTCTGCAGAGGTCGATGTTCCATTAATCAAAAGCTATGATGACGAGCAGCAGTATAAGAACTTCTCTAAAAATCTCCACGAGTGCTGCATTTGTTTTAGCGAGCTTCCTGGTACTTCCCTTTTGTTCCTCAAAGTCTCATTTGGAAGTGATTGGCTAATGTGCATTCTTTTTTCATCACTGACAAATATAGTTATGAAAATGATGCTTTTGGTGTTTTTTTTTCTTTTTTGTTAGTTTCCAGCATCCTCGCATACTTAAAAGTAGCAATAGAAAACTGAATCCCGTAAGCTCTAATATGTGATATATGTTTGGGACTCTTTCTTATGTAAAACCATTGATGCTGTACATATGGAAAAAACTCAAAGACTGTTTGGCAACCTTAGTTACATAGCTTCGATTAGTTTCTTTTGGTTTGTGCTTTTTGTCTAACTATGATATATGTAAACACAGTCAACATGTGCATGATATCTTCAGTGGTGAACAAAAATCTTGATTGTCATTCATGACTAATTTGAAATATCTCATAATTTCGGTCGGGACTTTTTCTTAGGGATTAGCTGATAACCAGTTCTAATTTAACCACAGTAAAGTTCTTAATCCTTGTATTGCAATTCTGATTTTGGCTTTTGGCCTTTCTCTCAGGCATGGAATTTGCTAGATTGCCATGCCAGCATTTCTTCTGCCGGACATGCATGAAAACCTATTCTGAAATGCATGTGAAAGAAGGCACAGTTAACAATCTTCTGTGCCCTAGTGCAAAATGTGGGGGCATGATTCCACCTTGTTTGCTAGGACAACTACTTGGCGATGATACATATGAAAGATGGGAATCAATGATGCTACAGAAGACATTGGAGTCAATGTCTGATGTGATGTACTGCCCAAGGTGTGAAACATTTTGCATCAAGGATGAAGATGAACATGCACAATGCTCAAAATGTTTCTTTAGCTTTTGTACTCTATGCGGGGAGCCACGCCATGTTGGAGCTCCTTGCATGGACCCAGAAGTGGAACTACAGATTTTGAAGGTAATGAGTTCTCTGTTTTTAGCATCTTTGGAGCTTGTAAAGTAGCTTGGAAATTTACCTAGTCCCTGATGGATTATAAATTCTCTCTTTTATGCATTGACTGAATGAAAACCAATACAAAAGCCGGCTGGAGACGCTCAATGTAAAATGATATTTTTGTTTTCTTTTCTTTTCCTTTTTTGAATTGTTTCAAGATATCAGCTATATCTCTGTTTGATTGTCCATTACTCCTTTCAATTCTACAAAGTGCACTGTTTTCCTATGCTGGAGGAGGTAGTTTTTAAAGACCTTTGTCTCCATAGTAGTTGTCTGTTAGTTCTGAAAAACCTTTTTATCCAGTTAATGTGAGGTCTTAAAAACCACTGGATTTAGCACCTTAAGCTTATTAATGCATTTTCATTCATAACCTCTGTAGCGAATTGCAGCTTCGTGACTCAAACTACTACAGTATTATATATGATACAGAAAATAGGAGACTTTAACACGAACTTATTTTCATGATTTGGTGCAACTTCTCTTTTGCATTATGTGCGGGAAAGAAAAGTTGCGCATTCTGATAATTCTCATCCAAGATTTTGCATCCAGCAGTGAGATTTCATGGTTTTCTTATGCAAGTACATTTTGTGAGTTGCCTGGTTTATGGACTACGTTCTAATTATCTTTTCTTGCCTGCTGCTTACAACTTGTCTCATGAGATATGAAGAAATTTTGTTGTTCTGGATTTCTGAAAGTTGGCTCTTTGCAATAGGAGCGCCAAGGATCATCTCGGCATGAACTTCAACTTAAACAAATTACGCCTGAGCAAAAAAAGCAGCAAGATAAGATCAATGCGAAACTTAGTGAGCGATTAATAAAAGTCACAGCAAAGAAATGCCCTTCCTGCAAGATTTATATCTCTAGGACAGAGGGTTGTAACCATATGTTCTGTCGTAATTGTGGAGACGAGTTCTTCTATAACTGTGGTAAGAGAATTGACGGATATGAACATTTCAGGTTTGTCATTCAGTCTAAGTCGTCCCTTTCAAGCTTCTTTTTGACAAGCATTATATTTTCCCGTGACTTTCATTACTCTGTGCACTATTGATGAGTTTCTCCTCTGTAAAGGAAAGGACATTGTAATCTCATCCCAGACGTAGGAAAAGTTACAAGGTCTTATGTACTTCCGGGGTGGGAGGCAAGGATGAATGCTCGCCGAGTCCTTGATATGCAAGTTCAAAATCTTTCTGTTGATGGTCATCCATGTCCTACTTGTCGTCAATTAAATGCGAAGGTGAGAGGTGTCTCCTGCTTCGGAGCTTTTTCTTAATGCACTGTTCTATATATGTTATATGCAATAAGCTAGAGGCTCATTATCAAGGTAATGGTTTTATCCAGAGTTATAAGGAAATTATTAGTCTTTTAGGACTATGCCGGGATAACTGGATTTCTTCCAACAATTCACTTCAGCAACTCGAATGCATGAGAATTAGTTTCCTCAACATAACTTGAAGTTCTTAAAGAAAATTTGTTGGATAGAACTGTTGATCAATCACAAGAAAAACTTGTCTTTGCAGTTGATTTAACATAGTGCAATGAAGGCTTAGCTATTATTATTATCATTCTACCTTTTGAGGAAGAAAATTCACCTGCGGAACAGTCTCATTATGGCAAACAATCGGAAGCCTATATGGCCGAAATCTAATTTTAACCAGCTGATGTAGTCAGCCTTGCCATGTATTTTCTGTAAAGAGGCTGTTTCCACAACCCAAACGTGTTACTCAAATCTTATTATAGCATTTTTAATTTCTACATGGAACTCCTTTTTAAGTTACCAAACCCCATATAGAAATGAGGCTGAAGTTTAGATGTTACGCTGAAATGATTGACTTTTGCAGTGCTCCTAGTTTCTTTAATATTTTTTATGATATATATGGCATGCTATTGCCTTTAGCTCTATTTCTCGCATTCTTCAGTTTTATTCTGAAGGTCAGTGAAGTTCAATATCCAACTGATCTTTCTTCTGTTGTGGTGCATTGACAGGTTGGCAATAACAATCACATCTGCTGCAGGGCGTGCCACACCGATTATTGCTATTTGTGTCAGAAGATTGTGACACGCTTCTCCCTACATTTCGGACTGAAAGGTTGCAAGCAACACACCGTCGGATGACTGTGATTCAAAACTTTGCAGACCAACATACTGAGTGCATGAATGCCCATGATGAAGTTCCATGGAACAGTATATTCCTGAGACCAAGTCAGAATTTTGCAATCAGTTAACCAACACATCCGCTCATATTTATAAGACACAAATTTGAAACCGAGTTTAGTTCTAAATAAATAGGAAGGGGAAATCTGCAGCTAATTCTTTTTTCTTTTCTTTTTTTCAGCTTCTTGCTCTTTACTCTTTAGCCTCTTGCGAGGTGTGTCGTGTGTTTATGCAGATATACATCAGTGATTAGTGTGAAGTTCATTCTCCTTTTTCAGTGCATATTTTAGGCAAACACTCCATTTTACTACTAAGAGCAACTCTTGCTATTGCATTGAAATTTATACCAAATTTAGTGTAAACATAGAATATTTCAAACAGTTTCTTACACTAATGTCTTTAAACTTCAATTTTGATACATCATATATATATATATATATATATATATAAGTTTTTTTTAAACCAAAATGTGAGATTTGATCTTTATTTCAAGAATGAAATAAATGGTGCTTTGGTTAAAAAATTGTCTAGAAAAAGGAGTAGAGAGATCTCTTCTTTTTTTTTTTTGTGTAAAGCAAAATATGGAGATCGGATTTACAAAATCCAAACTACTAATTAAATTAGTAAATCAGATTTTGAAAATCCGATTGAATAAAATAATATTTTTTTTCCAGAAAATACATGTGAAAAATAAGAAATAAAGGTCAACTAAGTTTTAGAAATCCGACCTTCCTTATTCTTGAAAAATAAATATAGGCGGGAGATTTGAAAATTAAGAACAGTGTAAATCCGACCTTATTTAAAAATACTAACAGTAGATATCGGCATTGAATGGATGTTATTGGCGGGCAGAAGGTCGGATTCTTGAAATCCGGGTTGATATGTAAATCGGATTTTGGAAATCCGACCTTTCTTATAAATGCGGATTTCAGAAATCCGACCTTTTTGTGTTATAATGGGACGACGAAAAACACTATTCACATATCGGGATTTTGGTGAAGGAGGCGATTTCTTGAAGGAGGAGGCGATTTTGGTGGCGATTTAAAAATTTTGCTCACGATTCTTCGCAACGGATGTCTTAAAACTATTTCACAAGAAGGTTAGTGATTTGATGTTTTTAGAATTATTGTTGTTGTTTTCTTTGTAAAAGTTTAGAACTAGGATGATTTATAAGGTTTTAGGGTTGTTGTTGGGTGTAACTGATGATTGTTGTTGTATACGTGGTATTGAATGTTCAATTTAGTAAAATACTTGAATTTGGCCGAAATTTTTGAATTTGTAGGAGTTTAGTAAATTTAGTATTGATTATGCCTTGTTTGTGGTAATTGTTATAATATTTTGTTTGATAATGCCTTGTTTGTGTAGGAGGATGGCGATCACATGGAAGATAATCACGCAGAAGATAATGGGGACTATACATCGATAAGTGATCAAAGCAATGAAGACCAATCAATATCTGAAGGAAGTCGGGAGAGCGATGAAGAGGTCGAAAACAAATTCGCCACAAAGGACATGCACATATATCGTTCACAGGGTACATGGGATCATACAAAAGTGGACAAGGATGAATTTCAACTTACCATGTGGGACAGGAACCGTAACAATTGGGATAGGGACTTGTTTTAAGAATAAGGAAGATGCAAAAAATGGTATTACAGCATGGAACATAGAGCAAAAGAGAGAGTTTTATGTGAAGGAAAGTAATGGTTCAACATGGTATATTTGGTGCAAATCCCTAAAAGAGTCAACCCCTAAGGGTTATGTTCCTTGCCGTTGGAAGGTATGTGCCTCCTTGAGAGACACGGTTTGTGGGAGATTGTGAAATGGGTGCCCGAGCACAATTGTATGAATGTCACCGAGGAAAATAATAATCGAAATGTGAGCGCAACGCTTATTGCTCATCTCATAAGGCATAAGGTTGAGTTGGACCCGGATTATGAAGTGAAGCTCGTTCAGGAAGAAGTGAAAGACCGGGTTGGACGATGTTCCTTACCACAGGGCATGGGAGGGAAGGAGAAAAGCTATCGATCTTGTTTACGGTGACTGTGTTTCTAATTTTGGCATACTTCCAAGGTATTTACTTAAGTCCTATCTAATTTGTTTGATTTGTTTGTAATTTACTTTTAAAATAAGCATTAATTTTTTTTAATTTAGATTTTTTGCCGCCCTAGAGAAGAGCAACTTCGGCACAGTTGTAGAGTAGGAATGGCAACCGGGTTGGACCGATACAGAGAGGACGTTCAAATACGTTTTTTTAGGCATTTAACCCTGAAATTGATTGTTTTGCTAAATGTCCTCCGGTGATTAGTATCGACAGGACGCACCTGCGTGGCAGATACAAAGGGAAATTACTTGCTGCAATGGTCAAAACTGCGAATAAACGCATCCTGCCAATTGCAAATGCGATTGTGGATGATGAGATTGAGGAAAGTTGGTCATTCTTCTTGAAGCATTTGAGAAATCATATTATATCTGACCGTCCTGTGTGTGTTATATCCGATCGGCACAAGGGTATCATCAGTGCAATACGCCTAATGCCTGAATGGAATGCATACCACCGGTTTTGCCTTCGTCACATCGTTAGTAACTTGGTGGCGCAGTTTCGAAGTAAAAAGATCAAAAGGTTGTGTTGGGAGATGGGCACGAAACTGTCAAAGTCTAAATTCAAAGAACTAAGGAAAGAGCTACGTGATTTTAGCAATGATGCATATTTGTATCTCGAGGAGATTGATTCTTATCAGTGGACTCTTGCCAAAGACAAACACTATCGTTGAGGTAACCAGACAACCAACATTTCTGAGAGTTACAATAACGTCCTCAAGGGCGTTTGTTTCTTGCCGATCCGAGCTTTGATGGAAGCCACTTTTATTAAGACTGTGGATTTGTTCCAGGAAGAATACGTGAAGTCGTGGAAATGTATTACGCCGGTCCCAACTGACTTGTGGGAAGACTTCAAGAAAAAAGAAAAGAAAGCCGTGCAACACAAAGTCAACCGTTATGGTGCTATTAATGGCAAGTTCAAGGTGAAAAGTAGAGCCCGACTTGGTGGTAAAGGGGACAACACGTACACTGTGAAATATGAAGAGAAGAATTGTTCTTGCAAGAAGTGGCAAGAGTATAGGTTCCCTTGTAAACATGCACTAGCCGTGGGTCGGAAATAAAAGATCTCAATACGGTGAATCCATATTTCAAGATTATTGCTTGGCAAGACTAATTCAGTAGGCGGGATGATTTTACCCCGGTCCCTGATAAGAGAAGATGGCCTAAGGTTGGATGGAGACTCGTTCCTAACTACGAGCGAGTTATTATACATGCTGAACCCGGTCCTTGGCAAAAGAATAGATTTAAAATACAAATGGATTATAGGGGACGCAAATCGAGGGATGAATGTTTGAGATGTGGCTCAAGGAATCATTTCACCAATAGGTGTCCAAAATCACACAAGAAATCCGATAGGAAAAGGCTCAAGATCAATTGGGACGCCGATGGTATTCACAACGACTAGGATTGTTTGGTTGAATTGTTGTTTATGTCTCAAAACAATGTTGTTGTGTTTGATACTAGTACTTGTTAAAAAATGGCAGGTGCAACAATTATCAAGTGTTTTTTGTAGTTTTAGGGTATAAGTCGGACTTACAAAATCCGATCTAGCGTATAAGTCAGATTTCCAAAATCCGAGTTTTTAAGAAAATCGGATTCCGATCTAAGAAATGCGATACACCACGGATGCCTTGGGACTGGTGTCACGGGCTTACTTTTTCAAAGTAACGGCCGTGCGGCACTAGCACAAAACAACTAACGATCAAGTGCTAGCTCAGCCTTAAGACCCCCAAAGCGTGCAAAGCTAGGCGAGACTTTAAAGAACGGAGGCAAAGAAAAACTTAAGAAAGGTTGAAAGTGAAAGAATGATGAAGGCACAAGAGAGCTTAAGGAATGCTTGAGAACTCTACTCAAAGCTTGGATGATTACAAATGAAGGGGGGGCATGGGGTATTTATAGGCAAACCCCCAAGTCCTAAAGAATTCTAGAGAATTCTATGTACATAATAAAATAATGGGATTCTAGAGAATTCCTACAATAAAATATTCTAAGTTCAAAATATCTACAAGTCTCTAGAATCTTCCACACGGTTCTAGCAAACTCGGGTAGCTTCCACACGGTTCCACTCGTTTCTAGAGAGTTCGGGCCTCTCTAGAAAATTCCGAGTCTTCAAGATTTGACTGGAGAATTCCACAAGGCTCTAGACCGTTCCGTCCCATGTCCGTCTACGAAAATAGCCCGTTTCGCATCAAACCACCCGAATTCGTGGTGAAGAAAAACTGTCCGTGACATCCTCCCCCACCAAAATGGTGCATCGCCCCGATGCACCTAAGTCTCGAAGGCAATGTTGATAGGAATGGGTGCACGATTCTCCTCAAAGTCCTCGATCAATTTGGTGAATTGCCGAGCTTCTCGATTGGCTCCCAACTCGTCTCACTCATTGGCAAATTCTTCCATTTCACCAAGTATTCTTTAGTTGCTGCCCGCTCCTCGCCCGAACGATCCTCTTAGAAAGGATCTCCTCTGCTGTCCGTTCCTCATGCTCGCGTCGCCAGCTGGTGCCCTTGTGGAAACGTTCCGTTCTTTGTCCTCCGGGTCCTTGCGGTATGGCTTAAGTAGGCTCACATGAAAGACTGGATGAAGCCTTGAGAAGGCCTCGGGTAGCTCCAGCTTGTAAGCAACCGAACCCACTTTCTTAAGAACGGTGAAAGGACCCTCGTATCTGCGCATGAGACCCTTGTGTAGACCACGGCTCCGTCCATGTTCATAAAGCTTCACCAAGACTTGGTCGCCTTCTTCAAACTCGCGACGGGTCCGTTTCTTATCCGCCCATTTCTTCATGCGCGGTGACTTCTCAAGTAGAGTTTTGCCTCGTCGGCCCATTCTTGCCAATCTTTGGCAAACTTGTATGCGGGTGGGCTATTGCCCTTGTAGCCCCCAAGAATGTCCTTAGGCGTAGTCGGTTGGAAACCAAGGATAATCTCAAACGGACTTTTGCCCGTGCTCTCGCTCCGCATCAAGTTATAGGAAAATTGGGCAACGTCTAGCAAACGTACCCAATCTTTCTGGTTGGCTGCCACATAGTGCCTAAGGTACACCTCCAAGAGGCCGTTGATGCGCTCCGTCTGCCCATCCGTTTGCGGGTGCAAAGATGTAGACATCTTAAGCTCCGTCCCAAGCAAACGAAAGAGTTCTTGCCAAAAACGGCCGGTGAACCTTGAGTCCCTATCGCTTATGATCGATGTAGGCAGTCCCCAATACTTCACCACATGCCTAAGAAAGAGTTTGGCCGTTATCTCCGCGGTGCACTCTTTTGGGGCGGGAATGAAGACCGCATATTTAGACAAACGGTCTACCACAACAAGTATGTTGGTGCAACCCTCGGAAATGGGCAGGCTCACGATGAAATCCATCGAAACGCTTGTCCCACGGGCGTTCGGAATAGGCAAGGGTGATAACAAGCCATGCGGGTGGTCTTGCTCGGTCTTGTCTTGTTGGCAAACTAGACAAGTCCTTACATATGTCTCCACGTCTTCCCGCATGCGAGGCCAATAGAACCGTTCATGTACTAAGGCAAGTGTGCGATGCGTACCTGGGTGACCCGCATAACGGCTATCATGGCAATCCCTTAGAATCTCCCTTCTAAGTCCATCCCATGCGGGCACGTACAAACGGTTCCCTTTGGCATAAAGTATCCCATCCTCAAGCGAACCGCGTTGTCTTGCCTTCCTTCACGAGCTCCATGAACCTTTGGGCACGACGGTCGTGCTCAAGACCCTTCTTAATGCGATCAACCAGCGTTCCCTCGGGTATGCTAACGATTGGAGCAAGACACGCCTTCGGCTTAGGCCGTCGGCCACGTGGTTAGTCTTCCCGGGCTATACTCAAGCTCGTATTTAAACTCGGCCAAGAAGTCCAACCAACGCGCTTGCTTGCTTGAAAGCTTAGGTTGGCTTTGATGGTAGCTCACTGCCCGATTGTCCGTCTTGATCTTGAACGGTGTGGCGGCCTTCAAGTAATGCTCCCAAACTCTAAGGCAGTGAACTATAGCCAACATCTCCTTCTCGTGCGTCGGCCACCTTTTTTCGGTCTCATTCAGCTTGCGACTTTCAAAGGCGATCGGATGACCATCTTGCATGAGAACGCCCCCAATGGCGAAGTCCGAAGCGTCCGTGCACACCTCGAACGGTTTCTCAAAATCAGGGAGAGCTAGGACTGGCTCTCGAGTGACGGCGTCCTTTAAAGCCTTGAACGCTGTTTGGTGTTCTGGTGTCCAACACCAAGCTTGCCCCTTTTTCAAGAGATCCGTTAGTGGAGCGGCTATAGCGGAGTGCCCTTCAATAAACCGCCTATAGTAATTAACAAGCCCCAAGAACGATCTCAGCTCCGTTGGCTTCGTGGGTGCCTCCCACTCCACGATAGCTTTGATTTTGGCCGGATCCATGCGGATTTTGCCCCTACCAATGATGTGTCCCAAGAACGACACCTCCTCAAGGCCGAAGGAACACTTCTCCTTTTAACATAGAGCTGGTTTTCCCTAAGGACTTGAAAACGGCTCTAAGATGCTCCACATGCTCCTTCATTGTGTTACTATAGATAACGATGTCGTCCAAGTATACTACAACGAACTTATCAATGAAATCTGCTAGCACACGTTGCATCGAGTGCAAAACGTGGTGGGGCGTTAGTTAAACCGAACGGCATAACAAGAAACTCATAAGAGCCATACCTCGTCACCATGGCCGTTTCGGTTCATCACCGGGTACTATGCGTACTTGGTAGTATCCCTTCCGCAAGTCTAGCTTGGAAAAGATCCGTGCCCGTTGCAGCCGGTCGAACAAGTCCGCTATAAGTGGGATAGGGTACTTGTTCTTCACGGTTAGTTTGTTTAACGCCCGATAGTCGATGCACAAACGTAGCGTCCCATCTTTCTTGCGTTGGAATAAGGCCGGCGAACCCCATGGACTTTTAGACGGCCTTGCATGACCCGATTCAAGTAGCTCCTTGATTTGCACCTTGAGCTCCTCTAGCTCACTAGGGGACATACGATAAGGCACCTTGGCTATCGGTTTCGCCCCGTCCACCAACTCGATGGCATGATCGACCTCCCTCCTTGGTGGAAGGCCTTTGGGCAAATCGTCAGGCATCATGTCCTTGAACTCAACAAGGACTCGCTCTATGGGAGGCGGGATTCGTTCCTCCTTTGCCGGCTCCTCTGTGCATGGTTCCTCCTCAAACACCATGGCGGCAAAGGTGTGTTCACCCGTTTTAGCCCCTTGTTCAGTGGGAAGGGCTAATCTCATTTTCCGTCTAAACTTTACCACACAAGGCTTCTCGCCTTGGAGGATCACCATCGTGTCGTTGCTAGGCACGATGATTGGCTTTACCTGGTCTAAAAACTCCATGCCAAACACAAGACCATAATCATCCATAGGTGCAATGGAGAAATTAGCCGTGCCTGACCAGTTGCCGATTTTAAGAGGCACATCCCTGGCTTCGCCTACAAGACCCGTCCATTCGCCGTTCACGCCCTTGAAACGGCCTTTGCTAGGTGTCCACTTGACGCCAACCGAACGGGCTACCTCTTCCGTTAGATAACTCGTGTCGGCCCCCGTGTCTAGCATGCCCCATCTAGACCCGTTTGCGAACGATGCCTCCATGTAAAGACGGCCTTGACGTGTCTCGGCCTTCGCATGCACGGCATCTAGCCGTTTCATGCAAGCGACCCGTTTCTCCTCTTCTTGGCACAAACCTTGTGCCAATGCTGCCAACTTTGAACGAGACGGGCAATCACGTGCCATGTGCGCTCCCCCGCACAAGAAGCACCCTTGAAACTTCTTTGGCTTGTCCCCCTTGGTCTCCTTGCTTGAAGACGGCTTTGTATAGTCGGCTGCCGGCTTGCGGTGTGGAAGACTTCCCTTTGTCTCCCCACCTTTGCCTTGGAACGGCTTCTTGCCCTTGTCCTTGGAGCTATCCTTCTTTTGGAACTCAACAAGCGACTCGCCCACCTTTAACGCCCGATTGATGTCTGGACTTCTCTCCGTTGTAGCTCAAGTTTGGCCCAACGGTTGAGACCGTCCATGAAAGTAAGAACGCCTCCTTGGGCGAGAGATCCGAATTTCAAGCATCAAGTCCGAAAATTCCTTAACGTATTCCCGATTTGGCCTTCCCTATGGTGCGGGCGACGAAGCTTGGCCCGGGCTTCGTCTTCCGCATCCACGGGTAGGAAATACTTTCTAAACTCTTCCTTAAAACCATCCCACGTGGTGAAGACCGGGTCTCCGTCCCCCACGGGTTTCATCATACGTTTCCACCATGATAAAGCACTATCTTTAAGATAAAGAGAGGCTTGGAAGAGTCTTACCGAGTCGTCCATGATATTCATAGCCCCAAAGTACCGTTCCATGCTGTAGAGAAAGTTCTCTACGTCCCTCAAGCGACGGCTGCCCTTATATTCGTCCGGCTTGGGCGCCTCAAGCCTTGGAACCGTCCCCACGGCTCCGGTTGTCCCTTGCACGGCCACGGCGTCAAGCCGTGCCTTAAGACGCGCCGATTCTGCCCGAGAAGTCTCCAGCTCCCCCATAAGCCGGTTGATGTCGTCTTGGAGGGCGGCAACACGAGCAAGGCTTTCCTCCTTCGACTTGTTGCAACGTTCCACCATTTCGTTGAGCGTCCCTAGCATGTCGTCCTTCATTTGCTGCATGACCTCTTGCAATTCCCCTGCGAATCGCTCCATGCGAGCTTCGACGACCCCTGCTACTACCTCAGGGTGCTCGTCCCAACGGTCTTGGTGGTCGGCCACAGCAAGCTCTAGCTTGGCAAGCCGTTTCTCAAATTCCACCATCGGCTCCCTAACGACCGACTTCTCCTTGCGGCTTCCTTTGCGGGTGGTCCTCCCCACCTCGCGGGAAACGTGATCCCCCTCAAGCTCCGACCCTTGAACGACCTCCGAAGGGTTGGACATAGCTTATGCACGAAAGAAAACCGACAAACGGAAGCGTAGACGATGTAGCACACCAAGTATCGAGCCGAGGCTCTGATACCAACTGTCACGGGCTTACTTTTTCAAAGTAACGGCCGTGCGGCACTAGCACAAAACAACTAACGATCAAGTGCTAGCTCAGCCTTAAGACCCCAAAGCGTGCAAAGCTAGGCGAGACTTTAAAGAACGGAGGCAAAGAAAAACTTAAGAAAGGTTGAAAGTGAAAGAATGATGAAGGCACAAGAGAGCTTAAGGAATGCTTGAGAACTCTACTCAAAGCTTGGATGATTACAAATGAAGGGGGCATGGGGTATTTATAGGCAAACCCCCAAGTCCTAAAGAATTCTAGAGAATTCTATGTACATAATAAAATAATGGGATTCTAGAGAATTCCTACAATAAAATATTCTAAGTTCAAAATATCTACAAGTCTCTAGAATCTTCCACACGGTTCTAGCAAACTCGGGTAGCTTCCACACGGTTCCACTCGTTTCTAGAGAGTTCCGGGCCTCTCTAGAAAATTCCAGAGTCTTCAAGATTTGACTGGAGAATTCCACAAGGCTCTAGACCGTTCCGTCCCATGTCCGTCTACGAAAATAGCCCGTTTCGCATCAAACCACCCGAATTCGTGGTGAAGAAAAACTGTCCGTGACACTGGAAAGGTCGAGAAGTATACTCCAACCGAGAAGTATACTCCCGGCTTCGGGGTTAGAGGGAAAAAAAGGTCTTCCAAGTAATTCAATTGTATGGCTCTTTGATGTGTATTAGGAGTTATTTGGATGTTTTTTATGATTTTAAACTCTTTAATGTTTATTAGTTGTAATTTAGATGATTTTGGAATTTGAATGCTTTTGAATTTGTTAATGTTTGTTACGATGTGTTTCGAATGTGTTTATAGGTAATTTTATGCGTGAAATTTGGTTTTGGTGCTGTTGTGATAGGTTGGGATTGGTTTATAAACCATTCTTTTATTTTTTTATAGCTCCCTGTCTAAGGTCGGATTTCTGAAATCCGACTTTTTTTTTGTTTTACTAAGACATCGGATTTTGAGAATCCGAACTTACCTTACCCGAATTCTCAAAATCCAATATAACCTTTTCCGGATTTTAGAAATCCGACCTTTCTACTGTTTACCAGTAAATCGGATTTCTAAAATCCGACCTTGGTCAAAATTTCAATTCTAAAAAAAAATTAAATGTTTTTCTTCAAAATATTATATTTTAATATGATAAGGTCGGATTTTGAAAATCCGGCCTTCTCTTAATTTTGATTAATGTAATTAATTTTTCGTATTAAGGAAAGGTCGGATTTTGAGAATCCGATTTACCATAAAAATCGGATTTTAGGAATCCGATGTCGGTATTTTTCTCTTCTTCAAAATTCGACTTATATTTCTCTCTTCTCCTATTTCTGGGCCATTTTTTTGATCAAAAACTCATGAAATAAAAGTAGGTGAGGTTATACCATCTGGGTAAATTATTACATTCAAATCAAAGTTGCAATCCACTCGCATTTTACAAACAACTTTAATTAGTTCAATACTTCTTAAATCCTAGGCGAAATTAGTGCTGCCTTCAACTACCAATTAACCATTATGTCTGATCAGAGCCTCGAGAGACGGCTCACGTCCTCGGAATTCTAGATAAACCTGTGAAGCAGTCTTCCCTCCTCCAAATCCAAGAATGGTTTCTCGAAATCGTTGCTCAGTTTCTTCAATAGCCTTTTCATTATCAAATCCCGTGTCTTCAAATGCTCAGAACGCATCAGCTGAGAAGACCTCTACCCACTGTTAACCATAACAACCAGCTTCATAACACCCGCAAATATGTGAAAGAAAAAACATATATAACGAGTATATGATATCAAAGGAAAGACTTGATGTCTTCTCATGATTCTACGCTCTAAATCAATGACTGTTTCTGAACCACCAGGTACATAATTTGTATGCAACTCAAGATCAAGACTTGAAACTCCTAGCTTCATGAGAAATTGAGTGCCAGCTCCAAATGTTCTAGCTTCAACGAGCTTCTCATACATGATTTCTGGGAGAGTTTCTCCTGATTCATAATGTTTGGTGATACTAATTAAGGTTTCCCTATGATAGCACCAATTTTCCATAAACTTTGATACATTATAATTTTAAAGGTTATAGTTTAAATTTATTTTGATTGTTAAAAATCATATAGTTTGGTAATAATTTTATTAGATAATTTATTTCGTAATTGTTTTAATGTAATTATAGAATTATCAATTGTTTTATATTTACTTTTAATAATGACTAACTTTATTTTTTTAAAAAAAATGAATAAGTACTCTCTATCCCAAAAAAAAAGTTCACATTCAATTTCGCAATTTGTACTGTTTTTAGTATAAATCTCAAAACTAAAAATGGAGTATTTTTCTGAGACACTTGTTTTCCTTAGATTTTTTTTTATAAATCTCAAAACTAAAAATGGACTATTTTTCTGGGATGGTTGTTTTCCCTTAGATGGCTTGTTGAGATTATTTGATCAGTTGTACGTGAAAGTCAATGGCAATTTACTCACTTTTTCGCACATATATTTGCTTTGTTTTGCTTATACATATGTTTTGGTAGGTCTTCAATTAAGTACTGTTGTTGCGGAAAGGTGTGCTGCATCTTCAGATTATCAGATTACATTCGGTGGAATTAATAATGGTAGATTGTCCGACCAAATAATAAGATGGTTTGTGTCTGTGTTGTGTAGTTGTGGATTTTGAAGCACAATTTACAACTACATGAAAATGAAATTAAAAAGGAAATGAGCATGATTTTAGAACAATTGAAAATTACACTCAGAAAATTCTCAAACTTGAAAGAACAACAGTTTTCTTTCTTATTACATCATCAGCAAAAAAGAAATAAAAGGAAAAAAAAAATCTCTTCCACTCATAAATCCAGTTCAATCAGAGTTGTTATCCCATGCCGCTGCAGCTGCAGACAACTCGCATAAACAGTAGAATAGTCAGTTCATTTGTAGATCTACTGCTAACTCATATCGAATTATATAAAAAAAACAATGATGATTTTATAACACCATGTAATACTAATAGGGAAGAAATAAAGCAAGAAAAATGAGGGATAAGGTTACCTGCTTTGGCAAGAGTCCAGTTCTCATCATCCCCAAGTGCCCAGAAGAAATAACCTCCAAGACCTTGATCCTTGGCAAATTTAACTTTCTGTATGATTGATCTACTATCATCATATCCAATCCAGTTAGTTCCAACATAGGAGTAGGTTGATCCTGTTGTACTGTCATATACCACTGTAGCTTTATTTGCCTTATTGAAGCTAACTATATCCTTATATTGCATGATTCCTCCATTTCCAGGGCCAACCCCTTTTGCAGGAGCTCCGATTCCGTGATTTCTCGAGTTCTTCAGTTTCCATGTCCTCCCGTACATTGGCATTCCCATGATTAGTTTCTTCGAAGGTACACCATTGTTTTTCCACGAAGAAATTCCGTAACTAGTGCTCACATTGCTTGATTTGTCGTAAAGCAGCGCGTGAGCACCGGTTACTGAAGTGTTCCAACCTCCATGGTAGTCGAAGCACATGGGGTTTATGGAATCGACGTATTCCTCGATGGAACCGCTGGGATAAGAATATGATATCTGAGCTAGGTGTAATTCTGCAGCAAAGTACACGGCTGCAGATATCAGGAGTCGAGGTTTACCTGAAACCTGAGACTCTTTTTCTAAAGCGCGGCGCCATTCTCTGAAAAGGGATGCGAGGTTGGTCATGTCTTGTTGGTTCATTGGAAACTCCCAATCAAGATCGAGACCATCGAATCCGTATTTTCTCGCGACTTTTATGGTGGAACGGATGAATGCATTTCGATTACCAGGCTCGCTCACCATGTTAGAGAAAGTGTTTGGACTTGCTCCTCCTCCTCCGATGGTTAAGAAGGTCTTTACATCCGGCCGGATTTTCCCGCGAAATGTGGCTGTGAAATTAGTCATCCAATGATCGTCTGGTTTGGTTACATTAAGCTGAAATGTGGTGGAATCAAGGGGAACGAATGCGTAATAAAGCCGAGTGAAAAGGGAAGTTGGTATGCTTGATGGAGGAAGCTTTTCCGCAATCCATGACGGCCAATATGCTCCCTTGATTCCTCTAGAGGGCTGCTCCGACAACACTGAAATGTTGCGTGACGAGCAAGAAACTGAATTTTCTGCACCAAAGAAGACGAAGATGGCAAAGAGAAAAGTGACAAATAATTTTCTGTTTGCCATATTGCTATATGAAACTTCTATATATATATATATTGCTTTGCCTTTGCTTTGTGTATCATGGTTCGATGTTAGGAGTGGTATTTATACATGTTTTACCTCTCACAAGGATCCAAAAAATGAATATGCAATTCCTATATTCTGGCTTCAGTCTGTCTCCCTTGACTATGCAGATATTATCAGGGAATCGACACGTAGAATATATATAGGGCGACTTTATTTAGGGTTTTACTACAACTGTGTTTAGGTTTCTGTGAACAGTGGTCCTGTTCTTTTGTGGACGAACTGTCTTTTTGTATATGAACTTATTTGAGTTTTGGCGTGAACGTACAACGATGTGAAGACAAATGATTACTGTTGTTGGTAATTATGTTACCATGGTAATCATTAACTTAACTTCCCATTCCTCTTGTTGAAAAGCTTAACTAGTTAGTTTGTTGGTATTAGTCAAGAAGAACACAAATGAACAAGTAATTTATTTTTGAAAGACAATAGAAGATGGCGCCCGGTTATCATTAATTTAACTCATTTGCATTGAAGTAAAAATTTGAAAAGTTTAAGTATAATAAATTTCTAAATTTCAAAACTTGATTCTTTTTTTCTTTTTTTTTTTAAGAACAAGAAGGAATATCAATTAGCGAAGACATCAAAGTGCCAAACACGGTTACTAAGTTGTGCTTAAAATAGGTGAAATTTTTTTTCCGAAGATTGTTTTTTATCATATAGCTAAATATATTTATCCTTTAAGTATTTGTATTAGAGGCTTACTAGCACCAAAAGGGATCCGTGGCGCAATGGTAGCGCGTCTGACTCCAGATCAGAAGGTTGCGTGTTCGATTCACGTCGGGTTCAATTCCCCCGATCCTAGGTCCCTATTTTTTCCACCTGTTAGTTTCCATACATGAAATTACCAATGGTTTCTTTTCTTTTTTTTTTTCCCCCCTTTGGAATAATTCCTTCTCTTCACATTCTCTCTAATTTCCATACATGAAAATTACCAATGGCATGTTTCTTTCTTCTTCTGCTTTTTTTTTTTTTGTGGAATAAATTCTTCTCTTCACATTCTCTCTAATTCTTTTCTCGTAGCTTTCTCCATCCGTTTCACAGTTATTCACGACGGATGTGACAAGTTTTTTCATCGCTCAAACCTCAACAACTGGCATCTGTCTCTGAAAGTGGTTGACGGAAGCATAAAAATTAAAAAGAGAGAAAAGATAGGAGGTCCAGAGAAAACAAAATGCTGGGAATGAAACTCAATCACTGCTTTCTTTCCCACTCCAATCAATACAAATTACATACACTAAGTCAGTCGTATTTTTAAAACTTTCACCATTGACAGCCCCTGCAATTCAATGCCAGGATCCTACATTTGGCTAGGAGAAAAAAAAGCCAACATAGTAGCCACTTTATTAGTCATCGCCAGCATCATCTACCTCTGGCTTGACAAAAAACTCGATATAAGCAATGCGACTTGGTTGCTGATAGCCAGTAGGATCGATATTAGAATGTGCGATAGAGGATTTTGCAACTGATACCAGGTGCTGAACCTTCAGCATTCCACCCCTTCCAATCGTCAATTTGCTTCCTCGATTATCTTTTATGACACTGCTCGGTATGTTTGAGGTTGTTGCACGGAGAAATTTGTACTTGTATCTTCCAAATATGCAAAAAGCCAGGTGAGAGAAAGTACCAGGTATTGTTAAACTAAATCCGAATAATAGAAGTCAGCGGCGTTGAGTAAAACCTGTGCGAGACTCGGCGATCACAATTGAAAGCTATCAACAGATCAGTGTTTGCGTAGTACATGAAGTCTATCTGCAAGAAGTACGTTACATCAGTGCTCTAGTCAGAAGAACAAAATCAAACAAAATCTGTGTGCTTGTCTACTTAAAGCCAAGATCAACCTGTAAGTCACCATGGCCTTCACCTCTAAAGGTGACACATGGAGGATCTGGCTGTAGAATTATCTGAATGCTTGACCCTGGCCACTCAAGATCATCAATTGCTTCCTTTAGACATGCGGACTATCAATCGAAAGCACAAAAGGTAGAATCAATAACACCAAACAAGGACAATGGTCCAAATCTTTACATCTCTATTCTCTAGCCTTATTTGTGAAGTATATAAAAGAAACAAGACAACTCTTGTGTTTATAGCTGAACGCAATGCAATGAGAAATGAAGTTAAAGCCAGGAGATGCCATCTCTATTTATCACTTAAGATGAAGTAATATTTGGACATGTCCAGTATTTGCATAATAGTTTGAAAGATAAGGGCATTGCAAGACATCACTACAAGTGCAGTGGACAGGATGTAGTCCATTACATCCCACATTATATGCGAAAAATCTTGACTACCAACACAGGGGACATGATGCAGGGATAGCCTAGTCAGAAGCATGGCAGAGCAAAAAATTCAAGCTTAAAGCAATTTGGAAAACAGAAATAAGAGGTAAAGAACCACAGAAAGTACAGATTCACTGACATGGTTGGAAAAGACAAAATAACATCAAAGCTGCACTCTACATGATTCACGTGTTCGACCAACTAACTTTTTGGAGTAAAAGCAGAGCTTGATATATACAGAAAAGAATTGCCACTCCTCCATAAATTGGAATGTTTAAATAGGTATGAGAAAAGGAGCCAAATGCCTAAAAAACGAGTGAAGGAAACTTGGGAAATAAAATAATAGTTGTCCAGTGGCACTGCCAAATGGTTCCAGGCAGATACAATCCAATAGCCTTAGAATGACATCTTTGAAAAATATTAGCCAGTATCTGCTCTTATGGAAAAGCAAGTGCAAAGACGATGCCTCCTACTGTCACAAGTTTTGGACATATGAGATACAAATGCAGGCATAAAACAATCCATTTCTAGCATTTATGAACCTTTAATCCCTTTTTAATAGGCAGATTTAAGAGATTAATTTGAGAAAAGAAAGCACTTCAACTGGATTTTTGAGAAATATAAATGAAAACAATTAGCATAAGCTTTCGGCTGTAGACTATCATGCTGGATATTAGCAAAGACGATACCTCCCACTGTTACAAGTTTTGGACATATGAGATACAAAAGCAGGCATCAAACAATCCATTTCTAGCATTATGAACTTTAAGCTCTTTTTAATAGGCAGATTTAAGAGAGGAATTTTGAGAAAGACTGCTCTTCAACTGGATTTTTCAGAAATATGAATGAAAACAATTAGCATAAGATTTCGGCTGTAGACTATCTTGCTGGATATTACCCCGAGAAGTTATGGAATATGCTGCCAATTCTTTAACAGCAAGGAAATTCGCCTCATTTACCACATCTCTAATAAAGCTCTCACATTCTTAACCACTTCAAGCAAAGCGCCACTTGAATAAGAAACGGTTACCTTAACCGTAAAATTGAGAGAAGTATTTGCAGCAGGTTCAAAGTTGTAGTCCCAGGAGATCGTGTCAGGGATCCTTGTCCTAACCTCCGCATAAATGCAAGCATCATATGAATCAACTGACCTAAGCACATACATACAAAAACACAATGGCAATTTTATTATTTTTTTCTGAAAAAAGGAAATTTAGTCATCAAATCGTGGCAACCCCATCACAGCTAATTCAAGTCCAATGCTCAAATAATCACGCATTGTGTGTATTTAGATTCTATATCACTCAGTATCATTTAACAATGAATTGAAGTGAATTTAGCTGCAAAATCTCAATTCTGTGAACTTGCAACTGATTCAAGTAACAATGTTCAGTTTCACATCAGTGAATGTATCATATGCGAATCTATTCTTTACCAAGTACTCTTTCACAGCCCTAGAACTTAAATGACGCACCCACTTGGGTAGCCCCTAATATCGCTTGCTTAGCTGCAGAAATCACATGAGGAAAACCCCTTTCCACTTCTGCAAGTACGGAAAAGAATTGTTTGAAATGAGAAACCAAGCATGCCTCACATAGTGTAGGAGGTCACATGATTCTCTAAATCAACAACTACTTAACTACATAAATCACTTTTTGCTATAGATATGCAAGTGCAAACAATCACAAGGTACAATATGCGCCGCAACAAACCACAACTAAATTTCACTACCAGAATGGAAGAAAGCTTAGGGCAATTAGGGATGTTACTTGAGAAGAAGTTGCATATCAGGCCCTGGATAACGAATCTCGATAGTAGATGAATTCCCTGAAACTGAAAATGTATTTATACAATCCACCAAAAGCCCTAAGCTCACACCAAATCGGGGCCTCCCTTCTGCACTATAATCGTACCTCACGAAAAGCTAGTTAAACAGAAAGAATAATCAGCAAAAGATGGAAATTGAACCAAAAATTACATCGGAAGAGAAATATTCCGGCTTAATTCGAAAAAGAAAATTAAAAAAATCAGAATTCAATGTTTAAATTACCTCTCGTTGTAAATAAACTTTGGCTTGAAGGCAGCCGGTTTCCTCCACGATTATCACGATTCCGTGCTCCGATAGTTCCACAACTGCGTCCTGATCAAGAAAATAAAGAATTAAGTTCGGAAATGTGAATCAATTAAACCCCCTTAGGCCTGAACAAATTTGGCTAGAAGCTTTAGATTTTCGAACGAGCAAATAAGGTTTTAAAGTCTTGGGAGAACCTGATGGCGTTTCCATCGGACGGAAGTGAGAGCATCAACTATTCCTTGAACGTTGTCCAACTGGCATACCAGATCCGGCGTGTCACCGTCGGCGTGTCTCGTCGAGGAGCTCATTTTCTCCTTCTGTTGGAGATTGCTTCCCGCCAAAAGGCCCAAAACTTCTATAACAGGTTACCCACTGCGCGGCCCTTTTTTTGGGAAAAGATAAGTAAAAGAAAATAAATTTCTTTTTTGTCTATAAGTTAACAAAAAAATGAAAGTATTGTATGTTATTTTGTCATATAAATGTAACTTTTCTTACTATACTCAAATTCTAGACAACTACATTGATCAAATTTCTGTATAGCAACTACATATAATTGAGACTAATTATAAAAGGCACTGGGACAAAAAAGATGTCCGTAAAAGAATTAACGAAGATGTAGTTTACCTTCCAAGAAAATGTACTATGAAATGACTTAACAGTTTACAATATGTTAGTCTAAGCAAGAATAATTATATTCTACAAGATCTTACATTTAATTCATTTACCTCTATTATATTAAGAATAAGAAGAAGATAATATAGAAGCTTAAATGTTAATATTAATATAGACAATCAACTTTTAGAGGGGGGGGGGGCGGGCAGAGATTTAAAAAATCTCAGAAATTCCTAGTTGTAGCCCAGTGGATTTTTTTTTCCCTACCTCAGTTATGAACCAAAGATGATGAATTGATGAATATATTTGTGCACTTTGCAAGGAAACATTTTCAATATTTATATCCTCATTTGGCATAGACACATCTCCCATTTCAGAAGTCGATTATTATTTCGAGTGAACCTCAAAACGGATCATTGAATCTGTTAATTTTGACCTTAAATAGTGACGGAAATCTATTTTTCACATACTATTGGGTTCAGGAATATTTTTGTCATTTTGTTATTATTAAATTTTTATTTTTTTGAATTTTTTTTCTTTAACAATTCTTCTTCTTATACTTCCTAACTTGTATATACTAGTACTACAGTTCTAAATTTCAAAAATTCATTTTACTTTTGTATTTTAACTTCTAGGTTATAAAATTTTAAAAAAAAATTAAGAAATGAAGAAGAAAAATTCGAGTTAAAATAACATGAAAATTAATATTTTACCATTTTAAACTAAAATAAAAACTAAAAGAATTAGCTAGACAAGTTGTTTCTTCTAGGTTATTTAATTATTTTCAACTCGATTTAATCATTTAATTATTATTTTCACGTTTACTTCAATTTGAATTTCTCTTCTTTATGTTTTTATAAACTAGAAGTTGAAATACAAATGACAAATTAATTTTTGAAATTTAATAATGATACTAGTACTAACATATACAAGTTAGGAAGCAAAAGAAGAAAAATCATAAAAAAAAATTAATTAAAATATTAATATTTAAAAATATATATCTATATATATAAATTGATGAAATTGTCCGTGGACCCAAAAATAGGTGAAAAATAAACTTTCTGTCACGATTTAACTCCCAGAATAACCTAGGAGAAACAACTTCTCTTAGCTGAAAGCTATTTTGAACGTTAAATCGTGATGAAAAATTATTTTTCACATGCTTTTGGGTCCAGGGATAATTTCATAGTTCTGTATTTTTCTTTAAATATATTAATATTTTAATTTTTTAAAACAATTCTTCTTCTTTTTTACTTCCTAACTTGTATATGTTTGTATTATAATAATTATTAAATTTCAAAAATTAATTTGTCATTTGTATTTTAACTTCTAGTTTATAAAACATAAAGAAGAGAAATTCAAATTGAAGTAAACGTAAAAATTAATAATTAAATGATTAAATTGAGTTAAAATTAATTAAATAACCTAGAAGAAACAACTTGTCTTAGCTAATTTTTTAGTTTAAAACGATAAACTATCAATTTTTATGTTTATTTCAACTCGAATTCTTCTTCTTCATTTTTCTAATTTTTTTTAAAAAAATTTATAATCTAGAAGTTAAAATACAAAATTTAAATTAATTTTTGAAATTTAGAAATTATACTACCAGCATATACAAGTTAGGAAGTATAAGCAAAAGAATTGTAAAAAAATTAAAAAAAAAAAATAAGTTTTTTCAAAAAAAAATAAAAATTTAAAAATAACAAAATGACAAAAATACCCCTGAACCCAAAAGCATGTGAAAAATAGATTTCCGTCACTATTTAACGGCTAAAATTAACCGAATATTCTCGGATAAATTTTTTGCTTAGTAAGATGACATGTTATACAAATAAATGTGATTGATGACTTGTATTAGAATTACGTAATAGTTCAATAACCTGTTTGAGGTTCACTATTATTTTTGCCAACCAAAATTATGTGAGAAATAAACGACTTTTAATATCACAAATGATAAACCAAAATATGCACATATACTAAGGGCTTGTTTGTTTTGTTTTTTTTTTTTTTTGTGTGTGTTTTTAGGTGTTTTTTTATTGGAAATGTGAAAAGGTGGATTGGAAATATAAAAAAGTATGCTGGGATGGAACATGTTCTTAATATATTAATCTGAAAATACCACCAAGAAAAGGAAATAAACAAAGTCTAAGTGTTTGATCGTGGGTCACAACTAAAATATGCATGAGTCATGTTTCATGTAATACAATTAGTAAGATACTGTAGTTACACGAATGTCATTAGCATGAATTTTGCTCCTAGACGCTAAGTAAAACACACCTTAAAATGAAGTACAATCGGCATACGACAACAAATTATAGCAGGCCGGAACTCTTTGCGAGGAGGAGACGGGCAGATTAACATCCCCAATCGGCTTGTTGAGACTGTGGTTGAGGCCTTCAGGGAACATGTAATGGATTTCAATTTAGAAACAAAAAATCAAAAGCTAATTTTTAAACAACATAAGCACCTCATCTCATAATTGATACTGCTGATGCCATTGATGTTCGCACATAGTAGAATGCAGCCGTCTCACCGATGATGTTTCCTAAATTTGTAATCTACCCAAGTATGGCTGTCATGCTGTTTTCGGCCGAAGATAATATTTGCCTGCTGTTTTTGGAGTTTTTGTAGGCTATGGCTATTCTTACATCAACCTTCTGGTTCTTGTTGCTTGCGGTTTGTTCACTCCATCATATTTGGCCGCCGATCGACTTCAAATTCAGCATCTGAACTTAGACAACAAACTATAGCGGTCCAGAAATTTTTGCACGGAGGAGACGGTAAGATTAACATCCCCAATCAATTCCTTATCAATTATTCATTGATTCACAACTCGACAAGAGATTTGGGATGGACGGCCAAAATTAAGGAAGAAAGACTAACCGTGACTGTTGAGGGATTTGGGATTTGGAATTTTGGAGAATTGAAGTGATTTTATCAGTTTGTATTTGAGTTTTCGAGAGACATGGTTGAGGATTAGAGACGTGGGAAGGGGGCAGTTTTTGTACGTTGATGATGAACATGAGTTTTTTTTATTGCGGGTTACTAAATGCAACTTGATTTTATTTCGCGCAGCTTGTACAATAAACTAAAATACTCATGAATCTTAAACTCTCTTAAATTCTTTTGCATGATCATTTTTTTAGAACTTCTTACAAGTTCTTTCAATATATTGTCAAAAAATCATTGATTATTGATGGTTTGCAATGGCGAAAAATCAAATAACACGAAAAAACAAGATAAAATAAGACATTGGCTTCTCAACAGGTTTTTTTTTTTGCGAAGTTCACTTTCTTATTGGTGTGATCACCATTGTCATTTTCTGACGGATTTTTTTTACAAAGAGAAATAATTTGCACGAAAATTTATGGCTTTGGCATGATTATTGATTGGTGATCGTGCTTTTTTTTGCTGATTAGTGATCGTGTTTTTTTTTTATATCATTTATGTTTCTTGATTTTGTTTCCTGTAGCTTGATTTTACTTTGTGCAGTTTGATTTTATTTCATGTATCTTTATTTTACTTCGTGCAACTTAATTTTACTTTGTGCAGTTTTATAGGGTATTTTAGTCTATTTAATAAGTTGGGCGAAGTAAATTCAAGCTGCATTTAGTAACATCCTTTTTATTTTACCATTAAGTAATTAAATTGTTTGTTATGAGATACTGAGAATTTGGACGGGATTTTAATTAAGAAGAGCATGACATGTCAGCAATTAGGATTGTAGTGGTTTTTTCCATAATAGGATATATATATATATATATATATATATATATATATATATATATATTAGATACTAGACTAGATGTTATTTTTATGAAAAATTTTGTAGAAATTTACTAATAGCTTGAAAAGAAATGAAACTAATGAAAAAATGTATTAAATTATGAAAGTAACCAAAAGTCCTTTAAACTCAAGCATGTGAAGAATAAGAAGAAATTAATTATTATACATATCATTGCATCAAATGAGGTTGGGCGGATATTAAAAAGGATTATTGTATAGTTTATTTTTTGCAAATTGTCTATAACCAACAAACTTAAGACATCCTTGCTATTTGCTGGTGCAAAATTATTAAAGATCTTAATTTCTTCTATGTTAGTAAACTTTTGTAAATTCAATTTGAAATTATTTTGTAGTGATGATTGGATTTTTTTTCCCTCGTGCTTTGATTGGTGGGATAGCGACACACACACACACACACACACACACACACACACACACACACACATATCCCTTTTACCCTATTAAAGCAGAAGACATGAAGCTTATGTGGCAACTACGTATGCATCTGTTTTGCCTCCAATGCACCATATTTCAGATTTCAGGAGTCTTTTTGCCACGTGTAAGTTTCTTTTAATTAGAAACTATATAATTCTTTTTTTAAAAAAAACACATGTTTTAGATGTGACACTTATCCAATGAAAAAATTCTACAAATACGAATCAGTTACATTTCAAACGAATGGATATATTAATTCAAATTCAAATGTCCAATCGTACAGTTTTGCAGGCTTAATATAAACAAAAAATAAAAAAACTTAAATCCAGTAATTAAGAATAATGCCTTATAAACTAATTATTTATTATTCCCTTATAACCTCATATTTATAGGTATATTTTTTTGAGCCCCAAACCATAGCATAAATGATATATACGCCAAATTAATTCCTCAAAAAATAGTAATTCAGTTAGAT